TGGCCGGGCTCAAGCTGCTCGCCAAGTCCCGTTTGACCGCCGTGCGCTTCAGCGCTGACCCCTCGGCCATGTCCGGGCTGATGGCCATTGCCTTGGCCTTGGCCGATGGGCGCTTCATCCCCGACCCCGTGGTCTGAAGATCCGTGGCCGCTGCGGGTCGCTTGCGGGTGTGAGGCGCTTTCTCCGCGGACTCTGCCGGCTTCTGCTCCAGGGCACCATGCAAGGCCGCTCTCAGACGGAGCAGGCTCTCCTGTAGAGGGACGCGAGGGCCCACTTTCTCGCTGTGCGCTTGCATCCGCAAGTTGGCGGCTGGGTCCACGGCTTGCGGGGCTTTGTCCGCTGGCGCAGGCGGGCTTGCTGCCGCGGCTGGCGGGGGGGCCGAGGCCCTCTAAGGCCAGCCTTGGTTCAGTGGAAGCTGGGACGGGCGGCGCCTCTTGGGCTTTCACGGTGTCGGGCTCAGCAGGCAGGTCGGCAAGCATCTTCTGCACTCGACGGGCTGCCGGGTCCTTGGTCTGCGCGACCGCTTTCCGCCCAGCCTCCAGCAGCTGTATTTGCGAGGATGCGTCACGCCCCTGCGCAGCCACGCTCGCGAACTGATGTAGCAGAACAGTGAAAGCATGGAAGGCGTCTTGACCTGCAGGTGGCCCCGCAAGGCTGGACGTCCCCGAAGGCAGCTTGGCCTGGCGGTGAGTCTTCCGCCGTGGCATCGAGCGAGCCACCATGAGCAGGCGGTCTAGCTTGACCGGCATGCAGTCTACGGCAACAGGCGGCTCCGAGCCCATGACTTGAAGCACCTGCGGTGGGTGCTGTAGCGGGAGTTCTGTCAGCACGTTGGAGGCGGTGTTCTTCCAGAGCGCCAGCTCTGAGCGGAGGATCCCTTTCACCGTGTTCAGATACTGCAAGCTCTTGTGACCGTCCCAACTTTCCATGCCGCCCAGCTGCAAAACGCTGCAGACCACAGCGATTGTGCCCTCTGTTGGGCACCGCAGGCCAAGCTTTGCCAAGTGCCTCGCCAGCGTCTTGAGTTTCTGAAGCTCGGGGGCGTGCTGGTCTGTGAGCAACTTCCAGACGGCACTGCTCAGATACACTGGGAAGTACTCCCAGTCCTGCATCTCCTGCCTCGGACGGCCTGCAAGTGCTGGCGCAGGATCGTCTCGTTGCTGGAGTGCCGCGCTTAGCGTCTCCTTCTGCGACGAACTGCGGCTCGGTGTCTCCTGCACTTGCTGCAGCAGCGCGGCCCGATCTGGAGCGGACACGCGCAAAGTCTTGGCCGCGTCCAATGTCTCTTCCAAAGTAGGCATGGCCACTGCGCGCGAGTGCGGCCGCCCTGCAACAAAAACTGCGGAAGCTGTGTGTCTCCGGTTCAGCAAACATGAAGCGTGCGTGGGTGAGTGGCTGAGCGGCGCAGCCGCGTATAGCTCAAAGACAGAGAGGTCCGCCGTTCTGCCTGTGCTGGTGAAAGAATCACAATCAGTTCGTCCGAGCGGCGCCGCCGCTATAGTATGTGAAACAGCGTCATGCAGCGCGGCGCTGCCGCAGTATGTGAGGAGCGGCGCGGCCGCTGTGTGCGCCCGTGTCTGGATATGCATGTTGAATATTGTGTAGTTTATCCATGTGTTTTCTTTATTTGCTTCTTGTTTGATCTATTTTTCTTGAATCTCAGTATACATTTCTTGGTTGTAGGACTGGCCGTGCGAACATTTGCCAAAAGCAGCGGTTTTCCGCCCCAAGGCGTGTGATGCGTTGCGAACCAGCTGTCGCGCAGCGTTTGCCCGCGCAGGCTTGCGAGAATGTAATCGAGAAAGGTCTGGGAGACACTTTTCCGCGCCGAGAAGAACCGGACCCCAAAATCCTGCTTTTGCGTTGGAAAAAGCTAACTAGTTCCTAACTAGTTTTTAACTTTTCGCACGAAGTTACGTAAGTGCCTGCTAAGTGCCGAAGTAACTTATAAGTATCCCCCGAACTTACCGTAGTTAGAATGGACTTGCCCCACTTATAAGTCACGTTATTGAACTTATAAGTGACGTTATAAGTTACTTCTAAGTCACGCGGCCACCTTGTAACCGAAGGTTATAAGGCTCGCGCCCCCTGCCGCCGACCCACTCTAGGTTCACTCTAGGTTCACTCTAGGTTCACTCTAGCCCCACTCTAGGTTCACTCCACGTTCACTCCGTGTTGAACGGAGGCTGCATTCACTGCTAAGGGGCGAAGGATTTGTGAATTTGTTCAGGCGATTTTTGACGACTTGTTGAGCATATCATCTGCATCGTCCGATGCGGACAAGGCCGGTGATGCGGGGGATGCTGGGGATGTTGTCCCCTGAGTCGGGCCAATTTTGCCGAGAACGTGCAAAAACACCGTGTTTTTGAAGGTTTTTGGCGGGCGCAAACGTGGAAAATATGGAAACCTGCTTAGCAGGCAGGCTTCAACGGTCCCGGCCGAACTCGATTTTTGGTAGGCTTTTCGGTGAACCGCAGCAAAAACACTGTGTTTTCGATAGTTTTGTATGGATTCTAGGCCGGGCGCAAACGTGGAAAATGTGGAAACCTGCTTAGCAGGCAGGGCTCACCTCTCCCCGGCCGAACCCGATTTCTGGCAGCGATTTTGGCGAACCAGTAGAAAAACCGAGTGTTTTTGCTGGTTTTGTATGGGTTCCAGGCCGCGCGGTTGCGAAAATCATGACAGCACGTGGAACACTGACGCTTTTCGGGGCGCCCGGCTGTCAGGCGTAAGCCCTTAAATCCGGCTACGCCTCCTGGGTAGCATGTCGCCGCTAGGCAATTAGCCTGCTAGCTTTAGCTATAGGGGCTGCACCCTGGTGCCGCCGACCCTCGCCGCTTGCCTAAAGCCGGCACCTCTGCATCACCAGCTCGGGCTTGCGGTTTTGCTTGCCTCTGGGAAACCCTCGCAAAACATCGCGTATATGCAGGGTTTAGGCCAGGTGGCTGACATCATCAGGGTCTGGGGTTGGGCCTGGGTGATGCTTCCGCGGGGCTTGGTCTGCATCATCAAGGCTTCCTTCCAAAAAGCCTCTCTGTGGCTGGCTCGCGTGCTGCGCGGTCCTTGCTTTTTTCACGTTGGTTTTTGGGCCTTCTGGCGCGCGCGCGCGCGACCCCAGCCACAAAACGGTGCTATTTACGGTGTTTTGTTGCATTTGCGTTTCCGGGCTGGCTTGCGGGCTGCTCTTTTTGGGCTGCTTTTTCTGGGTCCTCTGGCGCGCGCGCGCGCGACCCCATGTCAGCCTTCTGGGTTGGGGCCCGGCTGGGGCCCAGAAAGCTGGCATCCCCGGCATCATCCGGGGTTGGGGTGGGCAACATGCATAACCTAACCAACCATATCACAGCACACAATATGTTTCTCATACAAAAAGCATGACATGACATGGTATAACTTCAAGGAGGCGTAGCCGGCTAGAGGCCGCAGGCCCAGAAAATACACCACAGGTTTATTAATCCGGGGTCAACATTTTACTGCCAGAAGCTGAATTAAGAATTGGATGTCCAGGTAAAGGGCTTTTCTCATGAGCTCATTATACCCCCGAATCGGTGAGCTCGCTATAAATTAGGCAGAATCTACTCTATCCAATTTATTTTGGGAGGAATTTGCTACGCACCCAGTTGCCGAACTCACCCTAGCAGTGCCCACTACAAACAGAAACCACCAGCCTTTGGGCTAATAGTCTCAAAAGCAGCCACACCGCCAATGTTAGCAGCGTCGAGAAAACCGGACGTGGGCCCTTTCCGGGCTTTTCCGGCCTTTCCGTTCCAGCGCCGGCCTTCCTAGAAACGTGTTTCTACATCCTTCAGCAATGTTGACCCCAGATTAAATAAACCTGCGGTTGATTTTCATCGGGGGGTGTCCCTTTTTAGTGGGGATTCATTATTTTTCGGAGGAACCCCCCCCGCCTAAGAATGGGACGGGTTTAATCCGGGGTCAACATTACCCTGCAAGAGGGTCGTTCAAGCTCAAGCAACCCTTCTGGATTCTCTAGCCAAAAGTCTGCTGCTTCAGAGCCCCTCTTGGCCTAAAAATCGGCTCAGCCGAATCGGCTCCCCTATTTGGGGATACAGGGGGTGGGGTGGGGGGTGTTGGGGGATTGGGGGGGGCCCTGCCCAAAAAAGCTTAGTTTTGTTACTCCATTATGCCATTCGCCGTTTCACGCACAATGAGTATGTGTGAACATAGGGATTTGGACGCTCAACAAATTACCTTTTGGCTTCCCTTCATACCGACCCCTGTGGCACGTGGCCCTAACGTCTCAAGTCCTTGGCACGTGCAGGCGCCGCCGCGCCACGTGCCGCGGAGCGAGCGCACGCTTATGGGATCATGGCAAGATCCTAGAACGAAGATCCAGATGGAAACACATATGGAAGGTGTATACACTATGCTTAACGCGCTCATGCGTCTCAAATGCATATAGAGATGCAACTCATGTCCGTCAAATATCTGCGACTACATGATTGTGCATTCTCATCGAATAGACTTCGTCACTCGGGGGGCGCGCTCGTGTCATTTTAAGAAGCTGTGTGCTTTGCCCCATTTGGCCTGTAGTCACTACGTCCTGCTAAGGCGCTTGAGCCGCAAGCGTCGAACCCATTCGAGAAGTACCGCGCAACAGTGGAACTCGCTGCCACAGGGGTTTACAAATATCCCCCTCAAGTTGCTGGCACGCCAACGATTAGGTTGTGGTATCGCAGCTGTCCAAGGACAGCATCATTCTAGGGGTTAATGTTTCATTCTTTTCAACCATCGTTCTTTTCAAAAACTGGCTGTTCCCCCTGGGTTTTCGATGGTTTCCTGAAAAGATTCGAATCCCTGCGAAGAATGGAAATGGAAGGTACCCCTAGAGTCCTGCAGGCTTTTTTGGCGGAGCGGGTTGTCCCACAGGCATTGACGAGGGCCGTGGGCCTCAAGCACAGGATTCAGCCGGATGGGCGCGTGCACTAGGCAGCTCTTCTGCCGATTCCTCCCAGCGAACGGCTTGCACGCCGGGAACGCACTCAGATCGCTGTGACCGTTCCTCTCCAAGACACCCTGGCATGAGAGTCATCGTCAAAACCGGGTATGAAGCATGTAAAGAATTACGTAGAAATAAAAGGTTAGCCTTTTGCCATAACTAAACATGGGGAACCCGAAAAGAGGAAACCAAAAGGTCAAAGGTTGGCTTTGGGCAAGAGAGTAATTGTGGATGGGACTATCCGTTCTTGCCTACACGGGTTTTGGTTACGGCTGACCTTGTTGGTGTCGGCTTTGAGGGTTGCTCCATTGAAATGAATGGGGGAGCGACGCACGGGTGTGTCTTTTTCGAGAAGTACCCCTTGTTTGGTGGTTTTGAAGGGAAACCAAGAGGACCCCAAACCCAACCCCCCAAAAAAAACAATGTCCGGCCAATGAGGGGGTTCCAAATATCGACCTAGTTTCTCTCCACCCCCTCCGAAACGTAAAACAAAAAACATGGCCAATACTGGCTTCTCTTTTTAGGAGGGAGTTCGTTGGGCCCTTGGATTGTTTATTTTGTTTATTGTCCCGTGCTGCTTAAGTCCATCAATCTCCATGACCAAAACTTGGGAGCCAAGGCACACAGTGGGGTCGCTGTAGACCTCGGAAGCCGGAATCGGAGTGACCTGTCATAGGGAGGGTCCAGGCGACATCCCGCAAGTTCCCGACTCAAAATGCGGGGGTCCGTATATCTGAGTGTCCTTGTTGGGGTACCGTTTGCTTTTGTAGATTTACAGGGGAGCCAAAAAACACTAGCCTTCCTCCCACCAACCTAGCCTTTGTGGGACCTGCAAGATCAATTTCTTCTTCAAGGGACTCCCTGTCAGGTGCCATGTCAGTGGGATCACCCTTGAAAGCTAAATAAAAGGAGGGAAGGAGGTGTTCCCGCAAGAAAAAGGAACACCGACATGCTGGGGGCTAGCTATACCTCACAAACCTGAAATAAGGGATTGCCATGTTGCCCGAATCGGTGAGCTGGGGAGAAATTAGATAGATCAAGTGACATGCCTGTCTGGATGTCGGCTTACAGGGCGAGCTCTGAGAACCTCAAACTTTAGGACCCACAGCAGCCTGAGGAACAGAACAAGCAGATAAGAGACAGGTAAGCTTCACCCAACATGAGCCACGGTGAACACTTCCTTCCAAAATCACTAATTTAGATCGAACCTCGGTGGCTCCGTGCGCATTTTAGCTGGGGACCCTCGACGCATCATTTGGGTCTAAGTCAATAACATGTACCGAAATGGATTCCTGGTAAATGGAAACAGGACTAAAACCTGCGGTCCACAGCCTGGTTTCATTCTGACCCATGCCCATTTTTTCAAAAACAACATAGATATTGGTGCGCCTTTTGTTCGGGGTTCGGGGGCCCTCTGGACCTTGAGCTGATGTCCCCCAACGACTTGGGAGGCATAGGCTATGCCTGTGAACGGGTTCCTGAGCTGCCCGGCGCGCTGCGTCTGGCGAGGCATGCGAGAAGGGGCCGGTCATGGGTCAAGAACCCGCAAACACCGACCAAAATGGGAGGAGGGGGGGTTCTACAGGGGGATATGTCCTTTTTTGCCGGCCATCAGTATTTTCCCTTCGATTCGGAAGTTGTCACTTCTCTTTGCCAGCATTGTTTGCGCAATATTCTGCTCAAGCATAGTTCTCAAAAAACCTTTCCCCTGAGTTTCTGCTGGCTTCCCGGACAAAATGGTGCCCTCGACAAGCTGCGGCGTTGCCCCCAGAACATCGAATATATCTCCTGCAGGTCCACCTGGAATCTTCAGGCGTTTGCTGCTAAGAGGCTGTTGGGATGCCATTCAAAAAATGCAATTGCAAAGGAGCATTTAATAGAAGGGCGCCATGTAAACAATGTAACGAAACTTCCTCCAAAGCCAGGTTAAAAAATGGAAGCAAGGAGAGCACAACCAGGTGGGTTGGTCTCACAAAAACCTGCTACCAAGAGCACATGCCCAGATCAATCCGGACCGTCAAGGTGTGTTTGCTAACATGGATCATGCCCATCCATGTGGACGCCCTAAACGTTACAAGCAAGGGAACCAGGACCCACTCAATACAGGGGTTGTGTGGCGTGTGGTTGGCAAACTTGCAAAACCATCAGGGCGCCCCCCGAACAAGTTTACCTGAATGACTGGTCTTTAAGGACACTACTAAACCCATGGCAACGGGTTCTCTATATTTATGGGAAGGGAAGTGCCCCTGTCCTCCCACCCGGGCTGTGACTGTAACAAGCATGTATTTCAATCAAAGGCTTGAAGGTAAATCTGAAGAGTAACCAAACATAGAACTTTCCTCACTTGAAAGCTAAGAACACCAAGGAGCAAGGCTCCAGAAGGCCACTGTAAATGGGTCACCAAGTCTTCCATTTCGGGGTTCTGGGAGCCTTACTGTGGATGGTTGCGAAATCCATTTAAGATTTAAGACTCTGGAATGATGGTTCAATGATGGTTCCCCTGTAAATACCAGCAAATGGTTTCAACCATGGTTTCCAAGTGGCGCGGTTTACGGATTTCGCAACCATCCACTGTATGTTAGCGCGGGGGGGGGGGGGGGGTACTGAGTGAAGGCCTCAGGCAATTCCCGCCCCGACCTCATGAGCGGGGCTGGATGCTTCCGACCTCAGCTGACATGTTCCCAGTCTTCGGGCTCAGTGAACGGAGGGGAGCCCAAGGGATCTTGCCTTTTTGTGGGGGGGGTGTCCGTTTTTGGGAAGTGTTAAAGGGAAACCGAGAGGAAAACCGAATCCACTTTGGGGGGTCCCCTAAAAAAGACACAGCCATATTGGCCATATTGATGTGAGGGTCTAAATGTCATCTTTGGCCTGGGCATCCTTGCGGGGTAGAGTTTTGATGGGACACCTTTTGGTGGACATCATTTAGGTGGGGACTCATGTCCGCCAAGGTGGTTCCCTAATAAATTTCATAGGCGTGACAAGCACACCCCAGAAGAGTATCTGCGGAGCAAGTAACACCATCCGAAGCAGGCCAAGCGTCGAGCTGAATGCACAGCAAGCATGAGGCGCACAAGACTACTTTCGTTCATCTATCCATCCATTGGTCATGACAACATGGACGAGGCTGAAGAGATGAAAAAGAGATCGAGAGTCTCCAAGAGGAATGACTTTGGCCAAACAAAAAGGCAGGCCTAGGAAAAACATCGGTCCGCCCCAACTCTTGGGGGTCATGTTGTGGCTAAAAGGGTCCCTTAAAGGATACATCCAAAACCAACTGCTTAAAAGCAGCTGGCAAAAGGTGATTTTATTGACATGCCAGTCTTTGGGACGTGGACATCGATTTCTGTGCCTAAGCTGCAGGCTCTGCCTCGACGGGAGCATCACCTGCCTCGGCCATCGAAAAGCCGCGCGCCAGTCGGTTCATCCACTGAGGAGAAATCGTCTATTTGCCTAATGACCCTGGAAAAACATCAAATATTTCCAGGAGTGATAGATTCCGTTTAAAACCAAAAAGAAAAATAAACCAAATGTACTAAGGAAACATGTGGCCCTCCGTCTCCATGCGTTCTTCCCCCCTCGTCAACTTCTGGAGACAAAGAAAAAGGGATCGGGGAAGTACCTCCAGACAAGACTTTGCGGGTGAGATGTATCGTTGGGTGTCCTTCTTTCACTTGCCTCACCTCATTTCACCTGAGCTTACCCAGTCACCTTCTCTCTTGAGCACATTCAATGCAATGTTGACCCTGGATTAATAAACCCCTGTTGATTAATGTGGGGTTTATTCATGTGGGGGTGTTCCCCTCCAATAGTCATAAATCCCTACTAAAACCAGGGACACTGGGACCCATATTTGTTACCGGGGAGATTTCCGGGGTCAACTTTATTCAAGGGATCCCCTCGGTATCATAGAAACTGGGCCCAAAACCTCTGAGTCCCGCAGCCTTCCGCCCAAGCCACGCCCAAGCCAGCCCAAGCCTGGGGCCCTGAGGCCCGCACGCCAGCCATGTCCGGCTGCTTTGCAGGAGACCTCAGCGAAGCACCCAGTCCCCGTCGCGCCTCGGCCCTCGACCCTGGCTCCCTTTCCGGAATGTAAACATAACGCGGGTGGATGGGCGAAATCCGTTCACGAAAAGAATCCATGGTTGAAACCATACCGTTGGTTGGTTGTTGGGGAAGCGCGTCAGAAACCGTTGGGTGTCTCAACGGTGCGAATGGATTTCGTCCGCCCACAGGCGCCCTTCTGGGGAAATGAATGGCCCTGGCAGCTTGTGAAACAACCAAGTTAACCAGCGCCATCTATCTTCTACCACTTTGGGGGTGGCATTTTCTGATTTTGTGTGGGAAGCCGGAAGGAAAAGCAACATCCATTTTGGGGAGGACCCTGAAAAAAGAGGCGCACCCATTTCTGTCTGAGGATCAGCTGGTGCCAATTCTCCGGAGGGTCCTGCACAACAACCAAAAAGGACACCTATGGTTGTAAATGCGTTGCTGGCGCGGTAATTTGCTGCATGCAGTAGATAAGGTCGAACCAAGAACAGCTACGCAGAATCCATCCCTTGTGAAGCCAAATGGACTTTGCGAATGGGAAGCCGTTCAAGGGGTTGGCGTCACAGCTGTAGCACCTGCCCATTTTCCAAGCAGGCTGTGCCCGAATGGCACAATCATGTACCTTTCCCAAGGCGGTTAATATATATATATATATTCATCAACGAAAACAACAAAACGTTCATATATACCTTAGCATCATCCTCCACAAGCCAAGTGCTACAGCCCTCCTTAAAGAGGTTCGCTTTGGGTGAGTGCAGGGCGCTGCTCACATGCTTGTCAGGGCTTTGTCTCGCCTAAGAAGAAGTTGTTGATCCCCACCAACCCGAGTAAAACTTAAACCCAGATTCCCCTGTGAATACCAACAAAAAATGGTTTCTCATGGTGTCCAAGTGGTGCAGGATTTTGTCCATCCACAGTACCGCAGGCCATCCCATGGGCTGCCTTCGCCGCCGCCTTTTGCCCCACGCACTCGGCGCAGCGCCGCTTCGCCGGCGGCCGCGTGAGCATCTTACGGGAGAAGCTGGCGCCCAGACGCCGCTGGCCGCAGGAAGCGCAGAGATGGCCTTCCAGGACCTCTGCGTTTTCTTTTGCCCCGCAAGAGGCCTTTGAGCCTTTCTCAGGGAATGAGAAATGGAATGACCCCAAGAAGTTCCTTTAAGGGAATCCCCTTCTGCTTTAGGGTACATCATTCTTGCTGGTGCGGTAGGCTGGATATGAGAAATGGAATGAGCCCAATAAACCATCCATCCTGTGATTTCCTTTAAGGGAATCCGTAGGTTCATTCCCAACACCCTGGGTCTTTGCGTGGTCATTCCCCTCTGAGCGCCAGCAAGCTTAATGGACAAAAACACCTGTTTCCCAACAGGTCTAACGCAATTGGGGAATTAAGGAATGTTCTTGGCTGGTTAGAGGGAGGCATGAAGCAATGAAGCTGTTGTTGCTGGTTAAAGAGAAAATGACGGAATTGATAAAGTCGTTGTTGCCGGTGAACACGGAAATCAACGAAAACAAAACCGGGCAAAAAACAAACCGCTACTTTTCCGGCAAAGGAACCTTTCGCTTGGCCGCGGCGTTCGCCTCTCGCCGCAACTGCAGCAGCTCGCCTCCGGGTTCGTCTAACGTTGGGGGCTCTGCGGGCCTTCCTTACTACATTGTGTCTTCCTTCCAATTGGGGATTTGGTGGTTTGGTGGAGGGGCTTCCCATCCACCCTCTAGAACCGGGGGTTCAAATCCGAATCCAAACCATCCATCAAAAGAAGCAGTTGAAATAATCTGAAAAACAGCACCCTGAACAAAAACACACACTGGACTGTTGGACAACAGGGACCCCCCAGCTGCTGGGCTTCCATGTGGTCATGCCAGCGGCGGCCAGCGGTCTTTGTTTTCGAGCGAACCTTTTTTTTGGGGGTTAGTTGAAAGCGAAGCCAAAAGCAACACCTACCCCGACCTACCCATTGTGGGGTTCCCCTAAAAATGACACCCTACCTGAAAAGTCGGTAGCCTGGGGCATGATGAATCCACCTAAGTACCTGAATCACTTGCTTGACACCTGAGTCAACAAATGGCGTCTCTTTCGCGGTTTTCTTTGCTTGCACACCACAAAAATCAGTGTACCAAAAAAGACTCTCACAGACTCTCGCTTCGAATTGCCAATGTTGTCTTAAACCGAGTTGCATTTTCGGGGGCGGGGGGTGTCCCGTTCCATCGAATGGAAAGGCTCCAAGAACCTTGAAACCAGTTCAACCTACCCTGGCCAGCCCTTTCAGTCGCTGAGAGAATTGCTCCCTCGGCCCGAAACCAAACTCCCAACTCCCCACCGCCCGTCAGCCGAAGCCGCCTCCGGCGGCGGTGACGCGCCACGTGGCCGACGCCCTCGGCCGGCTGAAGGCGCAAAGGCCCGCGGAGACCAGCGCCAGGGCACGGGGCCGCGGCGTCGACAGCACCGAGACCAAGGTGTCGGAGCCTCGTCGAACACCGTGGGGCCCCAAGGGGAGGGGACCCGGGGAGGCTGGGAGGGGGGCCCTGGGGGCGGGGCCCAAAAAACCCGCGCAGGCCAGGTCCCATACCTTCTCTTGGTCAACAAAAATACATATACAAATAAATAGATAGACAAATAAAAATATAGGTGATGAGCTTACATTCAATCCTGGAATGAGAATGGGAATGAGAATGCAATCCCCGAACTGGGCCGACATGGTGAGCTCGATTTACCCCAAGCTCGTCAGAGCCACTAGTTGGGCAATCTAGGTCACAAACCACTTGCGAACTTGGCCGAATCTGTCGGTTTACTAATTCTACAAAAGCCAACCTGCAAGAGTTGGTTTTCCCCTGAAGAATTGACTTAACACCATGAGCTCGTTTGTAGCTCGAATGCCCAAAAAACATAACCTATCACAATAGCCCGAAGTGTGGAGGAGATTCTCCCGATGCCGCTTCGCATTTCACCCACTCACACGAAACCACAAAACCGTGCCCCGGGGCCCCGGGCAATGGAAGAGCTTCCGGTGTCCGCGCCGCAGCCAGCGCCATTTGGAGCTCTCACTGAGGTCTTGGGCAACCTGCGGGGTTTTCAGGCAGTCCGATCCGCCTTTCTCTGTAATGACCAAAGGGTCCACCATTTTTTGAAAAGCCATCTCAAAGAATGTGCGGCTTCAGGGGCTCCACAAACTTATCAGAATGGTGTGCGCTTTTTCGAGATGCTTGGCTCAAGCGTCTGGTCGGGTTGCAAAGGCCCCAACTTGCAAGGGCTCACTTCCGATCGAGTGGGCTGGCAAAAGAAAGTTGACACTTGCCTGTTACTCAGGCACAGCGGGAACAACCCGCTGTGTACGCGCTTCCGGCCCAACAGGGGAGAGACCTGGCCAGACCAACGCGCGTAAGCCTCAAATCCTCTCAAGAAGTCTAAAAAGGCAAAACCTGGGTTGCCTTGAGTGCCGAAACTGCCCATGTGTCGGAGATAGCCATCGTTCGATAGGAATCCTAACGGTTGAAAGAGTTTTTGTTTGACCATGGCACTATGGCACTTGTAAGAGGCACTAGCATACCGCAATGGACGCATGTCCATGCTTGTTCCCCGTTTCTGACCAAGCAAATCAGTGGCTAAATACTTCGATGGGGGGTTGTGGCACCATGAAACTAAATTGAGTCACGATTGTAGGAGTATTCTATCAATAATCTTTGAGCCGCTTATTGAACGAGTCCACCCAAAATCCATCAGAGAGGAGTCCTCTGATTTCGTTCTCTCCAGCTAGCCGTCGCATGTGCGCAGCCAGCCGCTTGCAAAGCATAGGCAAGTCTCATGAGATTTGTGCCCTTGAAGCTAGCATGCTTTCTGGCGAAGACGAAACTTGTTCGAACCTCCATTCAGAAACCCTGGAATGATCCGATTCCCCTGTTTTTTTACCAACCAACGTTCTGGTTTCAACCATGGTTTCCAAGTGGTAGAATGGAAATAGAAGCCTCGATGAAGCTGCCTCACCCATGAAAGCGCATCACCCGCTTTTTCGGCACCAGCATTTTTCGTGTTGCGGTTGAAAGCTGGCTAAGAGCGCTTGCACCGACATCTTTTGTAGATAGTGCCGTCACAGCCACAGAAGCTGCGCTTGGGGCAGAAACCAACACTGCAATCCCAATCAGATTGGCACTCAGCCAGTAAGCTCTTGTGGGTCCCTTCTTTGGGCCAGCAGTTGCGAGGCGCCTTCGAGTGTCCCAGATAGACCCTGAGATCCTCCAAACGCTGACCGCTCTCTTCAAGTGCTGCCTTCAAGAACTCGGTGTTGTCGCGGCCATGTGCGAGCTTGGCATCAAGCTCTGCAAAGGAAGCATTGGCGCTCACGCCGAAGTACTGAAAGCCAAGCTGTTTGATTGTGTGCGTCAGGCTATCAATTTGCAACGCGAGCTGGGCATTGGTGTCCAATTCCAGGTGGTTACTGTCACGGACAGCAACCAGCCCTGGCAAAAGCATCATGAAGCATCGCAAGGCGGCCATGGATGTTAGCAAGCAACTCTTGACTAGGATCACAGCTTGAGCCAAGTTTTGGCTTGAATCCGCCTCGAAGTGGTCAGTTCAAAGTGGCCTTTTCTGTCTGCCGTAGGATCCGATGTATGCGAAAGAGAATTGAATGACAAACACCTGGGGGGGTTGAGGAATCCGCATTCATCAAGTCAGCGGAAGGTGTTCAATTTCATGCTGGGAAACCACGCAATTCTACGTAAGAAGTGGACTGGGCATTTATAGGCTGGAGTTCGAGCAAAACACAGCGTGGAGGGAACGTACGAAACACAGGATCGTGTTGGCAAATCTTCGAGAAGGAAGACCGAAAGCAAGACATCTGCACAAACAGATAGAACAAGAACACTGGTGACCGCAAGTGCAACATTTGTGAACACCACAAATCTGGTTGCGCTCTCTTTCCCCCTTCTCCGGCTGACAGCCTGGCTTGATATGCATCCCAAAGTCACAAGAAACGCGGACCCAAAAAGCACCCCTCAACACATGATTCTCTACGGGTCCTTTGGGGCCGTTCCGTATGCATTACTCCTTGGTATGCCTAGTGCCACGGACTCTTCGCTTTGCAGATGTTTGGGGAACCAAAACGAAACCAGCCATTTTCTGGCATCCATACCCCTAGTTGCTGAGACCGATCAAAAGGAGATCTATGCGCCCACACCACGACTCGTGCTTTCGCGCGCATCCGAGTCGCCAGCTGCCGGGTGGTCGCGCCAGGCTCCGTGATCTCAGTGATGCCCTCCGCCTTCTGCATCCGCAGCACCTCCGCACCCGTGAAGCCGTCCAAGAACTGGGCCACCGCCACCTGGCATCTCAGAGTTGGATAGACAACAAGCCCCTGAAATCTCGAGCGGAAGCTTCCATGTCCATTTTTTCCACAAAACGTTCCTTTTGGAAAAGACAAGAGGAAACGGCCGGTTTCTCAAAAGAACGATGGTTGAACAGAATCGGGACTCAACCCCTACAAAATGATGTCCACCAAATGGCAAGGGCCAACGTCACAAGTGACTTACTCTCCCTCCAATCATGGAAGCTGACGATCGGGGGGCTTTCGAAGACTACGTTTTGGGGAACTCCAGGGTAGGCAGCTTAAACAATGGACATGCACAATTACGAAGCCAAGGATGGAAAACAACAGGCAAATCTTGCAGTGGGTCAAAAAATCGGTACCCCAAATCGAACCCTAGAAAATGGAAACATGGGCTAAATCCTGCGGTCCGATTCCTGGTGGTTTAATTTTGACCCATACCCAAGTGAGCTCTTTGAGCCAGGGGAAATCAGAGCTTCCAGAACCTCGAAGCAAGATGACGCCCAGGGGGCCCTGGCTGAAGTGCACGCCAGTGGGGAGATGTTTCATCCAACCTACCTTGACAGGGTGCGTAAACAAAACACATCCCCGGCATTCCCCGCGAACCAGGTGGACATGATGGCGACTTTACTCCCCAGATACAAGCAGGAACCTTTTGAATGGACCTGCAACGTTTCCTCCCTGTGCATTCATCTGCAAAAGGCAAAGACAGACGGCACCTCACGATTGAGACGGAGGACGGAAGCTCTCCTCTTGGAAATCTGTCCGAACAAAGAAAACCGCTGGTAGGATTCCAACAAAAAAGGTAAGATGGTAGGATTCCTTGCTGCAGATTCCTTCTGGATTGTTTCTTTGCCAACATGAAAGCAAAGAGAACTCACTGCAGACTCGGAATCTTGCGGATTTAGGTTGCATGGAAATGGCTCAGACATGGGCTGCAGAAGTACCGGGAAACATGCGGCCGAAATCGCGTGAAGGCATAAAAGCTTAAACGTCTTAAAAGGGAGACATAGGACTCCATTTTTGGCAGTGACACTTGAGGCTCCTCACCCCCAAAAAACCCCCCCAAAAAAAACGCCCTGGCACATTAGACCACCTTCCCATCAGTTGCTCAAGAGCAAATTCCACACCTTTTGATCGTAGTGGGCTTCTGTTCTCCTCGAACGTCACAACTGATCTTCCAGGTACCCTCCCACAAATGCCATGGGATGATTCCTTCTGCTGAGGCTTAATTTGCCAAAGGGCCCATCCCTGCTGATTCTTGGCATGGGTTGGTCAGCACCCAGTGGCAACTCCTGTTGGTGCTTGGAACTGCTTCGGATCGGATTTCCGAGTCTGAGCACTCTGGGCCAACAGAAGTTTGACACCCCAACTCCTCTCAAAAGTTGACTCCCAAAATTGGCAACGGCTTCCGTTCGCGCTCCCCAATGGATCCCAGCTGCACTTGCAGTACGTAACCCTTCGCCATGCTCATTTTGGCCAAGCCTACAAAAACCGGCCGGTAAATGGAGCCGGGTTCCATTGCCACCCCAACAAGTTGCTATCTTCCATTTGCTTAAGAAAAAACACATTAAAAAACTGTCCAGTCGTGAAATCGTCCCTTCTAAAACCAGCAAAAGGCGTTTGTTTTCTTTCAAAAAACATGTTTCAGCCGCTGGAAGCTACCCTTCGCCTCCAAGGACCCCCCCCCATTTCGCGCTCGCTCGCTCGCCTCCGGCGGCATCTCCAAGAACTCGCCCAGCCCCGACGCCCCGGGCGCCGAAGCCGCCGCTTGGGGAGCCCCGGGCCAGGGCTTGACCTCGTGCGCGGCGCGGAAACGGGCGTGGCGTTTGATTAATAGGGGTGTCCCCTTTTAGTGGGCATTCAGCACTTTTGGGGGGAACACCCCCCGAATAATGGGACGGGTTTACTAATCCTGGGTCAACATTACTTTCCATTTCCATTCTTTCCAGGGTGCTTTGGGCGCCCAAAGCAGCCAAAGAGACTTCTGTCCGACCCAGCTTACCCTCAGCCCGCAACCCTCCTACCATGAAATGAGCCTGAGGCGAAGATGCCTGCGATTGTCCTTAAGGAAAGAATCGGAAACCATTGATAGCTCGCACGCACACACACAAATATTCATCATACAATACATATTCATTGTGGTCATGTACTGGCAATCCCTTTCGTCGCTCTGCCTACCGTTTTCGACAAAAATGGATTGGCAAATCCCAATATCCTTTTCCTAACCCGAGGTAAGGATGAATGATTGTGCTTGACTAAACGCGACGCCACGTGTGCAAAAGGCACCCCCCCCCCCGCAACCTCCCTTTCAGATTTCAAAAGCAATTCGGGGCTCTAGTCACATCTGGCTGGCCCAGCGTGTCCCTTGGCTTAGAGAGGCAAACGGAATCAATGAGCAGCCCTAGTCTCATTGAGAGCGTCTCCACAAGTAATTCGGGAGCCGAAGAGCCCTCAGAAGAGAGCCTTTGCTGAGGGATTCCCTTGTTTCCGATCGCGAAATTGGCGTGATTTGCCCGGATATATTTCACATAGAGTTTCCAAAAATGGAGGGGGGGGGGGATTTTGGGGGAACCTTGGAAAGGTTCTGTCTTGTTCCTTTTTGTTTTTTTTTGGGGGTTCTTGGAAACCAGGCAGAACGCCAGAAAGGAGGCCCACCCTTCGTTGATGAGTTTCAAGGGACGCCCAACATGAGATCACAAGGATTGCTTCACGCCCTCAAACGTTGCAATTCACTGGTGGGCTCCCTGATTGGGCTCCGGATTGTTCCCTGAGGGTCGTTCCAAGCCTATGGTCCTTATGGACAATTTGTGTTGGATTTTCCTAGAGGGGTAGCTAAGCAGTAAGCATTTTGCCTGGGGTCCCTCGTAAAGTGCACTTTGTGATTCCCTGCTACAAACATTCCTGAACCTGGGCAAAGTGTTTGATGGGTTGAGCTCATGATGTGGCTGTGGGTCAAAAACCAATGGTACCATCTTGGGGTAGGTGCACCACCCATTTTAGCCTATGTTTGTGGGTTTGGGATGTTGACTGGGGGTCGGGGCCTTTGACCCATGGCCATGTAGGTCCTTCTTTCAGTAGGAATTCTGAACCCGCTTGCAAACACGAAGGTTTTTGGGTGTATCTTTCATAGATCCCCGTGTCAGGGGTCCTGAGTTCCCTTGATTGGACCTACAAAAGTTGGCAACCTGTAACAAAAATCAAGCCCCCACTCCCCCACCAATCCGGCCCCCCGCCTTCTTCAGCAGCGCCACAAAGAACCCCCCGGTGTTGGCCAAAAACGGCAGGCACCGCACGCACCGCTCCAGGGGAAACTTTGAAGCCGCCGGGGGCCACATGGAGCATCGGAAGCGCCGGCGCTCCCGCTTGGGCACTCCTTGCGGAATGGGACATGGGCACGACTTTGGGTTCCTTCTACATGGCGGTGGGGGTGCCAAAAATAGCGCAACCCCAAAATGGACTGCCCTGGTGGCTTAAAGTTGACCCATAAATGGGCCAGTGTAACGAAACTGGCTGGAAGGTTTCTACCAACACATTTGTAATAAACGGCGCTCAAGGTGAAACGACAGCCACAATCTTGGCTCCTGGTGCTACTTCCTGCCAAACTTGGTAGGAGAAAACAGGCCTCACATCTCACGCTGAGACCGACCTCACCACTAAGTCAGGGGGTTAGGGTTGCCCATTTCCTCTCCACAAGAACCAGGGCTTCAAAATCCCCACCAATCCAAAACCACCAACTAAGGGTTATCTGAAGTATAAAACGCCAGCTCATTGATTGGGAGCTAGCCACATCGCCTGCCTGCGGTCACAAAAACCAACAGTCTGAACCAACAACCCCCAAACACGTTTTCTTTTTTGTTTTGAGCCCTACGAGAAACAACCATGCGCATTTCCCCAAACTCGGCTCTACTTGGATTATAAAACTTTGTAAGGGCCTTGCTGCAACCGTTCCCCCCCATAACGCCAGGTAAGCATTGGAGTCTTCGGACCATTTACAATGGCCAATGGGAATCGGTTTTGGGCGCTGCTGACATGTTCCAAAACCAAAGGGCAACATTTGGGTAGGGGCCCCGCAACTTCTTGAGTTGAGTACCTTCCAACAATAAATGCTCCTATGATCCTGAGGAAATCTGGCGTTCTTGGCATGCTCCTCACTGACAGGTTTACTTGCCACTTCTCGCGGGCAGCTGTTGTCAGATCTTTCTGGGTGGCTCTTCCTAAGCGCAAATCGTCGTTGGACCTTTTGTTTGGGCAAGCGAATCATTGCTTTCCAAAAGCAAGGAGCCGGTCGCATCGATGCCAGCCAAGTAAAAGCAGGGGAACTCAGTTGCCCCTAGGTGACCCAGAAAAACAAGGCGATCACCTTTCGGCATCTTGACTAAAATGGGCCAAATCGAAACCCAAAGGTTACGCGTCCATTTGCGGTTGCGCCCCGTGGGAAAACTGAGAGCCTCTGTTCAGCTGCAATCCATTCCCTTTGAAGCAACGTTATTTCAGGAAAAAAACATCTTCAATTGGTGACTTTTGTGTTATCTCTAAATTCCCTTTCAACTTTGTTGGTGCTCTCTTTTTCTGAGAACAATACTAGGTCCTCCAGTAGAGAGGTTGGAATAAGGGTACCAACTTTTTCTTCTGTCTATTTTAGCAGGGGAACCCTCACCAAAAAGGGGCTGGGGACCTCGAATATATTTTCAGCAAGATGGGAAGTTCCAGCCCATGGCTTCGCCGTACCGCATGCAACCGAGGCCGCGCGCCCGAGGAACCCCGGCGGCCGGCCGGGGCCTGCCAGGTCCTCCACCGTCCAGGTGCTGAGCCCGGGCCGCACCGGCAGGCCCGACAACTGGGGCGCCGCTTGCCTCGGCCAAACGCACCGAGCGGCACGTGTCACCAACCCCCCCAATTTGGGTGTGGTGGTCAAAAATAGGCAGGAAGAATGGGACCCTGGTAAATGGGCGTGTTCAGGAAATGGGTGTGTTGACCAGGGTTCCAAAATGAGAGTGTTCCCAGAATGGGTTGCCCTGGTAAACGGAAACAAGTTGACGAAAACCTGCGGTCCATGGCCTGGTGGTTGAATTTTGACCCAAACCCAATTGTTTGTTCGGAAAAGCAGAAGAAGCAAAAACACAAAACGTCGCCCACTTGAAGGAATCCCCCACGCCAAAAGTGGGGGAATGCCCATGAAAGGATGCTCTTAGGGTTCTGAGAACCACGATGTCGTTGATAGGGGTGGTCCATGTCCTCCTTACGCAGCCAAACTCCCGGTTGAGTGGGGGGAGCGGATGAAAACACACAACAAGAAGACGCCGCTTGAAGCCGCCCCCCCACCAAAAAAAAAGAGCATTCTCCCCGCGGATTCAACCGCTCTTAGTTTCCTCCTGTGTTTTCTGAAAGTTGAACACCACGGGGTTCCACAAAGTGGCCTTGTGGCTTCTTTAAACAAGCAATGAGTGAGGTCAATGGGGGGGGGTCAACCCATAGAAAACACCAAAGGGAACTAACAGGCTTGAAAACCAGGACTTTGAAAATCAACCAGGACACAACAAGTCGTGAAACGGAAGCCAAGCCTTTTGACAAAGCTGGAAACCAGGTTTGCCCACGAACCACCAAGAGGAGACAAGGAAATCAGAAAGGAATAAAACATCAACCTTCAGAACAACCAAAAACAAGCCACGCCTTTTGAGCGCAACACATGACAAGGGTGTCCAAAGGACGCTGAAAGGCAAACAGGAAACAAATGACACGATCAGAAAAAAAGCAACATCAACCAAACTGCTTGAAACAATCGCACTGGCCACATGGGCATCCAAAAACAAACAGCCTCAAGAAAACCAAAAGTAAACCTGTTCGGAATACGCAAGCAAGCCAAACCATGAGAAAAAACAACCCAACTCAAAAGGACTCCTGGGTTCGCCAGATTGGGGGGTCTCAAAGCGAGGTGAGAAAACCAAAACGGGGTCGTTTCACATGGAAGGGGCGCCAGTTCGGGACTTCGGATTATTCCAATGGGTCACCAGACCCTTCCCTCACAAATGTTTGGTCCTTGTCAGTGAACCTTCAAATGCAAAGTAACTTCAAACATCTAGACTCTAGACACCAAATGTGGGTTTTCTAGGGCCCTACGAACCGCCCAATATGAAAGGATCCCCGAAAACAAGGACACAAAGGCCTTGGGAAGAGGTTTCCTGAGAAAGGACATCCATTTTTGGTCTTCCCATTTTTCATGATGTCACCCACATTCTGAAGGCAGTGAGCAGCAACCGGTAGGTTCCTGCAGCTTGTGTGTGTTGGTCGAAATCGTGATTCGGAACGGCGGTTTCTCTTTGGTTTTCCTTACCAAGCCCTGAATGGGCGTCTCTTTTTGAGAGGGCCTGTTTGGTTTGTTTTGAAGGGAAATCAAAACGAACACTCATCATTTGCAAAATGTGTCCCAAGAAGCAAACACCCAAACTCGGTTGCTTTCTGCTCCCCTGCTAAAAGTGACTAACTTTCAGTGGTTTGATACAAAAAAGCCCATTAGTTGGCAACAACTTGAAGTCCCAGCATCCCTTGACCAAATGCGGCAAAGTGGGAATCTGCATCCCAGAGGCTCCAAATACCTTCTGAGGTGCTTAGACCCCATTTTCCCTCCAAAAAAACGCCATCCTCATGACTCAAAAAGCAGAAACGGGTCTCAAAACCACACGCCGCCTTCCGCCCCACGTCCGCCCACCGAGCGCACGCCGAGGCAGGTGCAGCTCGAGGGCCCCGTGGGTGCGCTCCAGCAGCGCCGCCACCACCGCCTCGTTCTCCAAGGGGTTGAAAGAGCAGGTGCTGTAGCTCCTCAAAGCGGGTCCCCGACCGCCGGATCCCTTGGAGTTGGGACGGTGTTACCCTTTTGAAGCCAAAAGTTTGGGGTTCCGACGATTTGGTTGCGTGGGAGTTTGGACGGTGTTACTCTTTTGAAGCAAACAAAAGTTTGGGGTTCCGACGATTTGGTTGCGTGGGAGATTTTGGACGGTGTTACCCTTTTGAAGCCAAAAGTTTGGGTTCCGACGATTTGGTTGCGTGGGAGTTTGGACGGTGTTACTCTCTTGAAGCAAACAAAAGTTTGGGGTTCCGACGATTTGGTTGCGTGGGAGATTTTGGACGGTGTTACCCTTTTGAAGCCAAAAGTTTGGGTTCCGACGATTTGGTTGCGTGGGAGTTTGGACGGTGTTACTCTCTTGAAGCAAACAAAAGTTTGGGGTTCCGACGATTTGGTTGCGTGGGAGATTTTGGACGGTGTTACCCTTTTGAAGCCAAAAGTTTGGGTTCCGACGATTTGGTTGCGTGGGAGTTTGGACGGTGTTACTCTCTTGAAGCAAACAAAAGTTTGGGGTTCCGACGATTTGGTTGCGTGGGAGATTTTGGACGGTGTTACCCTTTTGAAGCCAAAAGTTTGGGTTCCGACGATTTGGTTGCGTGGGAGTTTGGACGGTGTTACTCTTTTGAAGCAAACAAAAGTTTGGGGCTCCGACGATTTGGTTGCGTGGGAGATTTTGGACGGTGTTACCCTTTGAAGCCAAAAGTTTGGGTTCCGACGATTTGGTTGCGTGGGAGTTTGGACGGTGTTACCCTTCAAGGTGGAGTACACCGGCCAGTTGTCAGACATTGCAGGCCAAAACGTCAAAAAGAAAAGGGGGGCCTGAAAAATGCAACGGGGCCCTGAAACTTGCCTAAAAATGATTTGCGTCCCTTTTTTGTCTGTAGTTTGAAGGTCCAGGTATGTATGGTATATATTAATGCGACACCAAAAAAGGTTGTTTCCTCAAAATTGAGGCGCCTTTTCTTGGACTCTTTTGAAGCAAACAACAGTTTGGGGTTCCGACGATTTGGTTGCCTGGGAGATTTTGGACGGTGTTACCCTTTTGAAGCCAAAAGTTTGGGTTCCGACGATTTGGTTGCGTGGGAGTTGGGACGGTTACTCTTTTGAAGCAAACAAAAGTTTGGGGTTCCGACGATTTGGTTGCGTGGAAGTTTGGACGGTGTTACCCTTTTGAAGCCAAAAGTTTGGGGTCAGACGATTTGGTTGCGTGGGAGTTTGGACGGTGTTACTCTTTTGAAGCAAACAAAAGTTTGGGGTTCCGACGATTTGGTTACGTGGGAGATTTTGGACGGTGTTACCCTTTTGAAGCCAAAAGGTTGGGTTCCGACGATTTGGTTGCGTGGGAGTTTGGACGGTGTTACTCTTTTGAAGCAAACAAAAGTTTGGGGTTCCGACGATTTGGTTGCGTGGGAGTTTGGACGGTGTTACTCTGTTGAAGCAAACAAAAGTTTGGGGTTCCGACGATTTGGTTGCGTGGGAGGTTTTGGACGGTGTTACCCTTTTGAAGCCAAAAGTTTGGGTTCCGACGATTTGGTTGCGTGGGAGTTTGGACGGTGTTACCCTTTTGAAGCCAAAAGTTTGGGGTTCCGACGATTTGGTTTCGTGGGAGTTTGGACGGCTTTACTCTTTTGAAGCAAACAAATTGGGTTCCGACAATTTGGTTTCGTGGGAGTTGGGACGGTTACTCTTTTGAAGCCACAAGTTTGGGTTTCGACAATTTGGTTGCGTGGAAGTTTGGACGGTGTTGCTACTTTTGAATCCAAAAGTTTGGGTTCCGACGATTTGGTTGCGTGGGAGATTTTGGACGGTGTTACCCTTTTGAGGCCAAAAGTTTGGGGTTCCGACGATTTGGTTGCGTGGAAGCTTGGACGGTTACTCTTTTGAAGCCAACAAAAGTTTGGGGTTCCGACGATTTGGCTTCGTGGGAGTTTGGTTTTACTCTTTTGAAGCCAAAAGTTTGGGTTCCGACGATTTGGTTTCGTGGGAGTTTGGACGGTTTTACCCTTTTGAAGCCAACAAAAGTTTGGGCTCCGACAATTTGGTTTCGTGGGAGTTTGGACGGTTGCTACTCTTGAAGCAAAGGAAAGTTGAGAAACCACACATAAATTATTTTGTCTGGCTCCTGAGCGGATGCTCCCGTGTTGAGCGGCCGCGGCTTCCATCATAGAGGCGGACCCAAACCCCAGAGGAGGAACATGGGAAGTTCGAAAAACCGGACTAAAACCCAAAGGAATCACAAATACATCCGGGGGTGCATGTTGGCTCAGCTTGCCTCTGAGTGTTTTGTTTCTTGCTTGGGAGGTGTTCTGGGGTGTTCCATTTGCCCTCGGGGGTTCAAATCTCCAAACCGCAAATCCAAGCCACCAATACCCTTCAACAAAAAGTGGGAACAACCACCCCCCTGATTTTTTCCGTAATCTGCCATGTGGTTTTTTTCGTGTGGCTGGTTTACTTGTTCAATGGCAGGAATCGGCAGCCGTAGGGAGGCCGTGGGTCAACGCCAGCTGGGATGACTGACTGACCCTCTGGCTGCATTTGGATTCCCGAGCTTTTCACTTAGGAAAGGTCCCCAACCCAAGATCAACCACGCATTCCTTGGGCCCTTGGGGTACACATCTGATGGGACACAAGGGATATAAACAAGTAGATGTTGTGGGGACATATGTAGTTATTTTACTTGACTCGACCCGTGAGCAGTGCAAAGCCTCCTTCCAATGGAATGTGATGAAGATTCTTACATGATGGTTTTCACAAACGCCCCTGGACACTTCCATTGCCGGGCTCAAGGCCATGCTCCGGATGAGAAACGAACATGAGCAGCGATGATCGTTTCACCGGATCACTTCTAGTTCTACCAACGTGGTCGCAAAAAAACATAGGCGTTACTACAACGCCACTCAAACATGCAGTAAAACCACCAACTAAACTGACCAATAGGGGTGTCTGTTCGCGAGAAAATGTTTAGACAACAGTGGCTCAGGCTTGTTGAAACCGCTAATGAGCAATACCAAAACTTTGGTTGATCAGATAGGGGTGTACGACTTTAAAACAAACCGACCAACCAACCAACAAAGCAACACAGCAACAAACCAACAACCCAACAGCCAAAAAACCAACCAACTAAACCAGCAAAAGTTCTAGGGTTTCCCCCTCTAACTTGTGGTTTTCTTTCTGGTTTCCCTTTAAGCACCAACCAAAATGGGGGTTTCCCCCTGAAAAATAGAAGACCACAGCCACCCATTGAGGGACTCGTCCGCCCACGCCGGCCCCGCCCGCCGAGGCACATGACGCCGCCGGGCTTGAGCAGCGCAGCGGCGCGGAGGGCGATCTGCAGCTGCCGGGCGTGCAGCTGACGGCCCAGCTGGGGGCTCCAGGTGCGCCACTTCTCCGGGTGCTTCCTAAGCGGCTGGGGTGTGGGGGGTGGGGGTGGGGGGTGGCGGTGGGGGGGTGCTTTCTTCGCGCGTTTGGGAGGGCTGGGTCGAAAACCTGGAAACTTTGGTGACTGGTTGACTTGCTTGTGCTTCCTTTGGTCAAGCGGCTGGGGGTGAGCGGGGGGTGGGGGGTGGGGGCGAGCGGTGGGGGGTGGGGGCGAGGGGGGTGTGGGAGGTGTGGGGTGGGGGTGTGGGGTGTGTGGCTAGAAACCCGCTGTCTGGTTGAAAGGGAGTGGCATCCAAGTTGTCCAAGTGGGTTGAAAGGGAAACACCCCCAACTAGTTTTGAGAACGCCTCGAAATGTTCACTTTGAGGGATCTTTAAGTAGGTCGTAGCCATGCTTACAAGTGGGCCAACGCCGGTTACCCAAAATGAAATACATCCCAGGCAGCTATCAAGTCCAACCAGGACTATCCTCCCAAATGGTTGGTGGACACGAATCCTCACTTAAATGATCTCTACATTCCATTGACTGAGGGATCTTTGATGCCAACTCAAAGTTGCAAGCAAGGCTTAAAGGGAAGATAGAGATCCCCAGTCATCTATAGAGGAGACTCTTACTGGATGGTTTAACTGGCTGACGAGGAACAACTAGGGAGCCCTAAAGTGCTACAACGGTGAAACCCTGCCCGCCCAAAAACAGAGCAAAACGCTAGGACAAATGAATAGATCGACCAAACCTAAATCACTAAACAACCAATTCGCATTCCCCCGCAACTATCCTCAACTCAAACCCGGGCTGTCCCCAGATCCCCCGTTTAACTTTTGGTGGGCTAAAGGGACACCCCCACTTCCCTAAAAAAAAGGCCAAGCGGCTAAGGTGATGGCTGGGAGCCACCAAGAAACATGGCTGAAATTTAGGCAACTGGGGAAATTTGGAGCTTAGCCCCCTTTTTGGTTTGCCCCAAGGAAGCGATCCGCCAAGCGATTCCCGCGATCATCCGCGATCCGACTTCCGGGCGAGGTGCCGCATGGTGCCGTCCCCACTGCAGGGCACGTCGCAGATGATCCTGTCATAAACCGCAGGTCCTGGAAAGACCTGGCGGACTGGCTACGACTCGCGGAAACAACCTGAACCAACCAACCAACCAACCAACAAGCAAGCAAGCAAGCAGAGCAGAGCAGAGCAGAGCAGAGCAGAGCAGAGCAGAGCAGAGCAGAGCAAGCAAGCAAGCAAGCAAGCAAGGAAGCAACCAACCAACCAACGGATTTTCCCAAGTTTATTCACAGGTTCGAACGAATCCGAATCCAACTGGGTTTGTCCACACTCTGCAGTTTGTTCTGGCGCCAACACAAAAGGAAAAACACTACGCATACAATGAAAGCTACAGGACCTTGTTCATGTTTCGGACTTTCGAACACATACCTTCGGCCCCCGACATGTCCAGGAATGGAAGCCCAACCTGGGCTTTGCTTTCACGGTGGGGACCTCCCCAAGGGCAGGGCAGCTTCACCAAAGGTCGCAACCCCAATGGGAAATCCTTTGGCTTTACTGCCCAAGGTGAACGCCCCCGAGTTTCACTCTGGGCAAGCTGCCAGCACTGAAACCAGACCAAGCCACGTGGTTGGGTCACTTCGAGAGGAAATCAACTCAATGGGGGAACAAAATGAAACTCAATGGGGGAACAAAATGAACAAACGTTGTTTTAGGGGCGGTTTAGCTTTGAACTCCTATGATCAGGGTGAAGGTGGAAAAATTGCCCTGTCTGCGCGTGAACAGAATGCGATTCGCCCAAACGCTATCCCCAACAGCACCCCAGTCTCCCCGGAACTCTCTACCCTCTGGCACCCTCCCTGACAGTTGCTCTGAACTGCCGCAGAGTTCAACTTGAGCAAAAACCCATACATAAGCCGGTCAGCTTCCCTTATAGTTGGTTTGGATTGGCCACCAACTGAGAGTCGCCAGATTCAGCTGACAACGGCCCGCCTGTGCCTTGTGCTGTACCACCGCCACCTACGTTTGGGTTCCCCCCGGTTCCCTAGGTTCACCCAGAACCTCGGGGAAGAACGGGTACCCAGTTTCCTCCATCTGCTTCAGCCGCCTGGGAAAATATGTCCAGTAGTGATAGATTCCCTTTAAAACCAACAGGGGGATATAACATAGCCTTAAGCAAAATGGAAGGTTTGGGTGGATGAATTGAATCCTGAAACACTGCACTGGGGATCTGAGGGTGACCTCTTTGAGGAACCGCAAGCACAAAACGAAATCACGTTATGATGATCTCATTGCGAGCACAGGAAATCCACAAAGCAAACTGAGACCCCTACCAAAAGCAATCATGCTCACTTGAAATTCTGAAAGAGCTCGGTATTTCCAAGGGTTTGTGTTTTTCGGGATGTACAGGGTTGTGTATGCACCGGGGTGCCAAAAGGAAAATACATCACCTACAAACTTGCACTTACCGACTAGAACAAGGACCCCTGGCAGCGCTTTTTGGTTCTTGGGCCTCCCGGGGCAACAGCGGGCCCCAGGACATGTTGTCCTGAATGTTTCTAAGGGTGGGGAAACCAGCTGAGGCCAGCAAAGCCTAGAATCAAAAGAGTTCCTGGAACTTAGTCACGTCCAATCCAAAGAATGCTAAGGCAATTAGAGGTAGAGAACTTGCGCAGAAGCTGCGCCCCCCCCCCCCCCCCACATGCCGGAGTCTTTCCAGGCAAGACCTGGTTGATTTCGGCCCCACATAACTCAGGTTGGTGTCACGGCCGTTTTCTAAAACTAACTTTGAGGAAAACTATGATTCCACAGGAACATAACAAGCTGGTTGTTCGGTGGCACCCTGCACATCCCTCGTCTTTGGTGGGCTCCCCACTCAACATCGTTAACCCCAAAGCGGGCCCTGCTGGGCAATTGGGAAGAACAGCACAGCTTCGGAAGGGGTCAACAGGCACAGCAAACAAAAGATGAAAGTCGCAAACCAATGCGTTTCAAGACTAGGCAATGAGCCCCACAAATGGCAAGGGTTTCCAGTTGGATTCTCTTTCAACAAAAACCCTACCAAAGGGAGGGACCCATATGTGCCATGGTTCACTTAGAAGCTACCGACACCAAGAAAAGATGTGTCCCAGTCGAAATCAAACGTTTCCTTTGGGCTTCCAATCAAAAAGACACAAAAGGCATCGAAGAAGGCACACACACACACACTTTGCCACTGCACATGGGGCGCGGCACCCTAGTTGCATCCGTTCTCTCTCTTTGTCCCTTGCTAATGTCACCAGAACCAGGTGTCTAAGTTGAAGAACATCGGCCGTGTTTGGCCCAATTCTGAGGCAACAAGTCAGATGTTTGTTGATATGGTTAACATTTGTTGCCCTACATACAACAATTGTGAAAAAGGACCTTTATACCTTAACTTTTTGCTCCTGGAAATCCATTATCTACTAGGAAGTGATGGTCTAACTCACTAAGCTTTGTGCAAACAGCCACGGTCTAATTAAGTTGGCAACATTTGGTGGGAAACTCATCCGAACAAATAGCCAAGAGAAAGATCCTGCTCAGAGGTGTCCTTTGGGGAAACAAATGGCTCTGGCAACCCTTTTATGGCAATGGAATTTTCTACCACAAGGCCCAGCCCTGTCTTCCCACAAACGTCTCACCAACAGTTGTAACAACTCCTTACACAAATCGGACCCAAAAACTCACTTCCTGAGTGGACAGGCCATAAAGTCAACCTTTAATTAACCCTGAGATGGTCGTCTTTCCAAAAAGTGACTATCGCCCAAAACGGAACTCAAAGAGTGAGTAAACATTGCCACTAAGGGAAAAGCACTCTTTACTCTGCTTGATGGCGTTTGCGTGGTTTGTCGTGTTGGCTTACTTGAGTCATAATCAACACCTGGTATCAAAATGGCCCGCTTATGGCTGGGAAGGTCCCTGGTTTTCGGAGGTTTTGGATCCCCTGGAAAGGTACCCCCCTCCAACCCCCCCCACCCTCCCCCCATCCAACCTCCCACCCTCCCAACCCCCCCCCCCCCCCTCCAACCTCCCTCCCCCTCCCCGTCCCCCCCGTCCCCCGGGTCCCGCCATGGACGACGCGCAGCGGCGCGCCAAGACCCGCGCGCGCGGCGCGCAGAGCTCGTTGGCCACCAGCGCGCCCGACGGCGCCGTGGATCCATCGGCCTGTGGGGCCGAATTTGGGGACCTCGAGGCATACCTTGGCCATGAGTTTCTTTGATGCTTGATTTTCTTCTTCACCGCTGGGGTATATATATATATAGATAGACATATACATACAGTGGTTTTAATAGATGTTGTGTTTGTTGGTTTCTGGTTTTAAACAGTTGGGGTGAGGAAAGTCGTATGGGTACGGTGGATGCCCGAAATGTTGCAAGTAGGCAAAAGGGAACCGTAATTCCCCATGGTTTTGTGGGTGGGGCAATGTGCGAGCTAAACCCTTTGCTCAGGTTCGCGTTTGCTCGAGGAAGTAGTGGGGGCGCTTTGCCCTGAAACATGTAGTGTGAAAGCTCTTCATGCCACAAGCCAAAGGGGAAAAAAGGGGAAACCAACCGCAGCTTAGGCTGGCACCATTTTCCACCGGAAGGTAAACCCTGCAATATTCAATTGAAATCAACCGTATCCCCAGAGCTCCAAAAAGATCACGACTTCTCATTCCACCAGCCCTGTGGATGGACAAAATGGGTTTGTCTTGTTTAGGGGACCCCCCCCCACACGTTCCTTTTGGTTTCCCTGAAAACCACAAAAAGGAATACCCTCAAACAAATGCACCCAATCCAACTCGCAGGGTCAGGTGCTGCCTTTCGCAAGTTCTGGCAACCCGAAAGTAAACGGAGCCTTCTTGTTGTTTCTTTACTGATCTCACTTGCCCAAAAGACCTGGAAATAAAAGGTTAACCTTTTGTGACCTTTACTAAAAAATGACCAACATGGGAAAACCAAAAGTTCAAAAGGTCGGCTTTGGGCAAGTGAGCTTTTGTCGTCTTCTGTTTTTGTTGGACCCCAAGGAAACCCAACTTACGGCAGGTTCAAAACCCTCAAGTTGTGCCTCGACCAACCGGACATCCCCTCGGTGAACTCATACCCCGTGCCTTCGTGACCAAGAAGGGTCACTCTCTCTCCAAACCCAAAGAAAGGTACCAACTCCGCCAAGCACAGTGCACAGCCCGTGAAATTCAACCCACCCACCCACCCCCCCCAAAAAAAAATAATATAAAAACAAATAAATAAATAAAATAAATCAACAAACAAAACAACAACAACCAATAAATGCACACACAAACAAACACAGGTAATTACTAACTCCAAAAAGCGCAGATCCATGGGATTCTTTTAGAGGATGTATATATATATATATATAAATACATATACATGTATAAATACAAATATGTATATGTACGTTCTGTTCTCCGCCCCTCTTGTTTTTTTTTTGGCTTTTGGGATCGGCGCCTCGAGGGCCTGCACGGCCTGCAGGGTCTTGGAGCCCGGGGCCGCACACATGTCCAGCACCACCTTGGCGCTCCGACGCTCCGGTCTCGGGTTGGCGGACAACGATAGGTAGGACTCGAATGATGTAGCCAGGCCGGGTATGGAATGAACCGGTTTTGGTTGGATTCCCCAAAAAAAAGAAGAACAACAAAAAGGAAAAAATGAAAACAAAAAAACAGTTGGAGAGTTGGAGGGGTTTACTCGGGGGTCAGGCTCCATTGCTCATTGCCTATTTGAACCACGAGTTGAGGGGGGTTTCGCAGGCTTGGAGGTTTGAGGGTCAGTACCAACTTGTCAGTTCCCCTCTCAGGGTCCCAGAAAGAACAGCTACACATCCTACAAAGAGAAGGCACCTGGAATCACCTGGAGGGTACCTGCAAGATCAGTTTCCTCAAAGAACCCACCAGGTGCTATGTTAGAGAGGGCAAACCTTTTGGAACCTTGACGAAAAATGGTTGCCAAACCAGAAAAAGCAAAAGGTCAACAGGCTGATTTGGGCAAGTAAGTGCAAGAACCAGGGGCAAAGCCCCAAAGCACCAATTAAGCGTAGCCTGAGTGACAGAAGGGGCGAAGTCATGATGGGGGTTTGGGGCACCCCTAAAAAAAACACACATTTACTCATATGGGAAAAACGAGTTGTCAGTATTTAACCCCTTGGCCTTCCATGACAGAATCCTCTGCTTGGGAGTTCAGCTTCTTGATTGAGCCCTGACGGGAACTGGGGCCGTCCAATTCCAAGGGTCCAAGTCCCATGGCACTGCCAAGAGCGGCAAACACCCAAAGGGTCCCCCAGAATAGAACTGCGATGGCCCAATTCTGTGTGGCTAAGCAAAGGGGATGACTAACCCAACATGAGGGGGGGGAAGGGTGGGGCTTGTGTCCAAGTGTAAGTCCCGTTGGTTTATGCAACGGTTGGTTGAAAAGGCTCCTACAAATCCTCTGGTGGGCGAACATTGGCTACTATCATCGTCAGACTTCCATCTAACATGTCCGGGGCCCGAATCAGCCGACATGTAATTTGCCGGTTCAGGGTATATTCTCCTCTTGCCCTTCTTCCCACGTTCAAAACCTTCACAGATTTGTATGACGGGTTTCAAGCATAAAACACAGCACGCCCCTGGGGTGCTGGTCCTGGCAAAGCTCCGTCAGAACTTCCGCCAAAAATTGGGTGTTTTGAATTAGGGGCAGTATGTTGCCGTATCAAGCATGAGTGTGGCTTAAGCTTTCTCCGTGGCTTCCCTTTGACCCCCCTCAAAAGGGCGTCCTCAGAAACCGGCAGCCTGCAGAAACTGCCCCGCTTTTCCCGCTCAAATGGAGGGGGTGTAAGTCTGGAAGCTTCAGGGACTGGTGAAAGGGACCAAATAAGGTGCATGAAGGTAGCTTTTACTATGCAAATTGATGGGTTTATGAGGGGTCTTAGAAACATGCACCAAAAAAACAAAGCTATCCCCGTGCCGTGATATTAGTGCTTACTTCCGATCCTGCCCGCAAGAACGGAACCGGCTCCGAGCTCGCTACAAAAGGAAAGTCGATGACTAGAAAGTGAGTGGCACAAACCATACTAAGGCCATACATATCTAGACTTCTAGACTAGGGTAGGTATGAAAGCCCTTCAAGCTGTTCAAAAAAACGGAACCGATTTTCGGGTGTGACTGTCCGTTCCCCCCGCCCGCCCGGCCAAAAAAAATGGCCGCGGCACATGTCCCGGCTGCACCTCGAGTAGCGCCACCGGCACCTCACGCTGGGCGAAAGGACTTGGAAATACCACCCAGTGGATCCATTTGGTCGCACCTGGATCTCCAAGTAGCCACTTTTTTCCAGCCACTTTACCCACTAGTGGCCCATCATTTGGCAAAAGTAGCTGGAAAATCTAACGGCAACTGGGGATAGGTAGGGCTTGCCACCGGATAGAAAAAAGGAAAAACTAAAACCGTTGGTTACCCACTCGGGTGGCTGGCCTGGGATCTGGGCACGGGAAAAACCTTTTGGTCCCGAAACCGCGAACCAGGCTCGCTCCCAAAGCGGGAAGTACGAGTACCAAGAGGGGGAGAAGGAAGAGCTTGAAAGAACCCTTACCTTGGGGGGTTTGAGCAATCATGAGCAAACATGTGTCAAAATTTGGGAAAGGCTGGATATGGCTTTTGTTCTGCTTGCTGGGGATCTTGACTAAATTATGTTTTGAAATGGGAAGAAAAACGGGCTTAAAAGCTTGGTAGCAATGAACTGAGGCACTGTGCTCACCACCTCCTGCCGCGACACCAGGCCCTGGCGAGTGTCAGGATGTTTAGACAGCTGGTCTTCTACTGTCGGATGCGTCCATTGGGAGAAATGAGAACCTCATTTCCAGTAGTGACATTGATTCCTATTTAAAAAAAAATGATGTAAATAGCGCATTCTTTGAAACAAATGGAAGCTCAGGGCAGTGGCCCAACCCTGGCGTATATGAGGTAAACGTACGCGCGAAATACCGGCAACAAACTGGCCCCACGGGTAGGTCAGAAACGGGCGCGCAATACCGATGAATGTGTTCAAAGGTGACAACATTTGTTCAAAGAGAAGTGCCATCTCATGGGTGATCGTTCAGGAGCTCAATGAAAGTCAGATCCTCAAAATGAACCACCACCCCTGAAGTTTCCTTTTTTGAGAACCCCTCAAAAAAAGGAGTGGATATCCCCAAAGGGACCTTCCTTTTGTTTGAGCGGGTAACCCAAAAAATGGCATCCACAGCAGCCACCCATGACATTTGGTCTGGGTTGGGCTTTGGGTCCCCTTTTGAGACAATCAGGGTCATCGGCGACCTTTGAATTAAAAAAACCCAATCCAAGCCAGGGCCATCTGATTGATACCAAAACAACCGAAAAGGTCAGTCTGAATCTGATTTTGCATCGTGGAGGCCCGCTGGAGGCTAAGGTTGGTTCCGGTTCTGTCTTCTTTCCGGCCTCCAATCGATCCAACGAGTTCACGCCGATCAGTACCTCCAACCAATTGCTAACTTCTCGAATTTCAACCCAAGGAATCCATTGGTCAAAGGCTGCTTCGCTATTGCCCATCATTTGTTGGGCCTGGCGGGCGTGTTTTGTGGGGAAAAGGGCGACCAACATCACCCAAGAGCAAGCTCATCACAAAGTGCCAAAGATTTTGCTCAGTTGATCACCTACGACCAATTACAGGCCAGGGGGAACAAGTTCTGAGCTTAGATCCGGTCGATTCCCTTCGGACTTCTTCCATTTGCCTTCTTGCCCCCGAAACAATGAGAGCATATATGTCCAGATTTGGTCCCATAGTGACATCGACTCCCTTGAGCCAACAGGGACAGGTCTTCGAATTCCGCGCATCCCTCGCCCCTCGCCTCTCCCGCCGCCCGCCTCGCCTTGGCCTGGCTCTCCGCGAGCCACCGCGCCAGGCGCCCCAGCGCAGAGCCAGGGGCCTCCCACTGCTCTTGGCGCAGCGTCTTGGCATCGCAGCCCAGGGACACCGCCTTTGCCGATTTCTGGGTGAGAACGGGGGGGAAATGGAAGAATGTTTTTTTTGTGAGGGAACCCGTTTTTGGTTGGTTTTGAAGGACAACTAAAGGGAAAACCACCAATTGGTGGGTGAGAACAGGGGGGACCGGAAGAATTGTTTTTGTGAGGGAAAAAACACGTGTTTGGGTGGTTTTGAAGGCCAACTATAAAGGGAAAACCACCAATTGGGGGGTGGGGCCCCCTAAACAAAAACAAAACCATGTTTTTTACAAGATCATCTGCCCCACCCTTGTCACCCTTGCTGAAGGCAAGGGAAGAATTGCAAAGCCAGACCCCAAACGCACCTTGGGAGACTAAGCATGACCAGCACTGGTCCTTCTTGGGGATCTTGGGGGCACCACGATAAGGCGAGTTGACAAAACTGGTGTGGGAACTTAAAAATAACAGGCATCCATATGCACGCGTTTGCCGAAGCCTCCGTTTGAGCTGTTCAGCTTTTGGCCATGTTTCTTGGGCATTTGGTTAGTGTACCTTTGGCTGTCTGTTTGGCTTGTGCCTTAGTCATGATTGTCACGCTTGGTTGTTGCATGTGATTGCCATTGCTGCCATTGTGTATCCACATGTTTGCTATTGCTGGGATCAAAGGTCTTCATTTTTGATCCTGATCTCGTCCCTGCGTGCACAGAAGCTGAGCAACATTGAGCCACAAAGCAAACAAACATTTGCATTTGCTTTTCGCTCCCTGGAGCAAAATATGAGTATGTCAAGTAGTGAGCTCGACTCCCGTTAAAACCGACAAGGGAACATAAACAAGAGATTCCTTTCGAAAGGTAGGGTTCATTGTGCAATCTGTCTCTGTCTTGTTCCAAGTTTTGCACCACCATGGAGAACCAAATGGAAGGACGGAAAAAACAAGGACAAAACCATCGCATAAGCGTTGGTACCCACCGCCGGGCCGCCGCGACTTTTCCGCGTGCCCCGTGGGACCGGTTTCGGCGTCCTTGCCTGCGAGAACCCGAAGAAGCGGGGCGCCGGCACGAAGCGGCTGCGCGCGGTGGTGCAGCCCTCACGCAGCTCCTGCCGATAACTGTTCTCACCCGTGTGGGTTGGCAACAAACCCCCCCCCAAAAAAAAACAGAAAAAAATGACAAATCAGAACAAATCAAAAACAAAACAGTCAGTCCAGGGGGGTGGTCTATTTGTTCAACTCACTTCCAAGAGTAGACTGGCAACAAACATCGGAACTGTTTAAACTTGCCACTGAAAAGGTCCAACAGCTTGTTAAGTTTGCCATTAAAATGGCAACCAAACCCATAAAGTGACTCAAGTCCGAAACACAACTCAAGTGAGTTTGGTCCTCTTCAAGAGGGCATTTCGAGGTGTGGGTCTGGAGAACGGTGGCTGCGAGTCATCTGCAAATACAGACATGCAACCATGGAGTTGAAATCGTAACGTTGACTAATACTTACAGGGGAATCGAATCCAGGGTTTCGTCCATCCACAGTGTGATGCTTACCACCAATGCTTGTACCCCGGGATCTTCCCACACATCCGGGGCCTTCCTCATAAACGCACACACACACACACACACACGGGAACGCGCACGGGCACTCACCCAGCCACCCACCCAGTCAGCCATCCACCCACCACCAGTTTGATCGCTAGACCCCTGCAAATTCTCGGGACTCCTCTCGGAATCGCTGCAGCTCCGGCACCGCATCCGGCGACTTCAGGCGGAAGGCCAAGGGCAAGGGCTGCCGCAAGCTGTGCGCCAGCTTGGCCCACTCCTCGTCCCTGGCCAGGCCTAGGGGCCTGAGACGAAAACAGGTCCCAGGAGATGAGAAGGGCTGGTTCAAGGGGAGCGTGCCGCGGAACGCCAAAACCACAGGTCTAAAAGATAGGTCTGGCAAGGAAAGGAGAGGCTCTAGAAGTCAGAATTCAAGCAAATTTAGCCCCATCCACTCAGCCCCCTCCAAGAAAAAAGGCCTGACCAAAAGGCTTGGAAGTAAATGACTTTTGCTTGTTGGGGTTCACGGGGACTGGACGAGGGGATTCGAAAGGTGAAGCGCTCGGCTTGCAGCTGTTGCTGTCTGTGTGGATTAGGAATTCGCGACGGAACTGCCAGCAGTGAAAGCAACTAACAGCACCAAAAGTAGCAATCGAGATAGGGATGCAAAACTGGAATTGTGCATTCATCCTTTCAGCGGCGAAAAGAGGGTGTCTTTAGTCGTGGCTTGAGTGCAAGCTGCCAAACGAAGTTCCGGATTCAGCAGAATCCTTGGGAGCCCTGGCACCCAGTGCATGGCGTTTCCGGGAAGGAGTTTCAAACAACCACGTGCCTCACCCCATGCATATCTCGGTAACGATTTGTGGCTTGGAGGTAACAAGCAAAAACCCGGTTGGGATGCTGGGGGTCGAACGCATTCTTGTAGAAGGGCTTCTTATAGAATCCTCAAGGACCCGGTGAGTTAGCCAGAGCTTAAAGAGCACGGAACAAACAGCCAAGCATGGCCAGCACATAGCAAAAAGCGAGCACTAACAATGTAACAACCAACGCGCGGCAGCACAAGACAATCGACATCAAACCAACATAGAAAAAAGGCACCAAATAGCGATAACAAGGAACAACTAACAAAGGTCACAACAAAGACCACCCATTTCAAGCAACAAGCACCTAACAAACAACCACTGCAAAAAGCAACGGGCGACAAGTCCGAACCAACACATACAACAGCACAAGCCACACTCAAATGCCCAGTGGCCATGGACAATCTAGGGCACCGGTTTTTGTTGCTTAAGTTTAAAGGGGAACTCTTAGCCCACAAATAATTTAAAAAAGGTACCACTGAGCAACAGGGCGCAGGACAAACACAAGTTCGTTCAAGTCGTGTCAGTCCTGTAGTGCTCCTCAAAACGCTGCAGGCCCTCAGTGATGATCGCCCCAAAGTTTCCCACCGCCTCCCCATCTTCCGGCAGGTCTGGCGGCCGAAAGAGAACCCAAGCAAATGCTCGGAATGTGTGAGCCCAGGGTCATGAATCAGCCCTGGGTGATTCACCAGGGGGGTGGTCTATCTTTGATTCGCTTCCAGAGTGGAGTGGCAACAAACACATAACGTTTCATGTACCACTAAAAAGGTCCAAACCCAAAACGTTGAAAGTCAAGGAACTCAGGGAGTGAGTTGAGGGATTCTTCTCAACTTGGGTGACATTAGTCCGGGGTCGACAGCAAAAAGCCTGGCCTCAGGGTATAGGGGAACAACCCGCTAACGTTGGAGAGATGAATGACTTATGCTTAGGCAACTTTTGATTAGTCTTCCTATGGGCTCCCTACAAGGTCCTGGAGTTGCTTTAGCCACGACTGCTACAGTCTGGCAGCAGGAAGCCGACCACAAAATATGATCTCGGGCAAAGTGTTCCTTTCTTCTTTGCAATCCTCAGGGAATTTTGGGCTAACAATGCTAACAGTATCTTACAGCTCGCCCAAATTGGAGCAGTCTGAAGAGGTCCGACCTAAGCCTTACTTGGCTTAGGGATCCGAAGCCCTCCCATTGAAGCCTTAAATAGGAAGGTGCCTAGTCTCCAAATCGGCGGCTTAGCTCCGGCTTTGCCCAGGTCGGGAGGCTCCGGAGGTCCAAAAAAAGACCGCAAGAACCACAGAAAGGTTGACTTGTTTTTTGGGTTTTTGTTTGTTTCTCGTAGTACTTTGTTGTTTGTTTTTTGCTTGTGTTTGTTGCTTGTTTGTTTCCACTCCGCGTTGGTGTGTGTGTGTGTGTGCTGGATTATTGCTGGTTTTTGCTTTTGTTTGTTTCCGTAGAGCACCTCTTCCCAGGCGTTTATACCAACAGAAATGGAATGACTTGGTGCCAGTGAGCAACTTGGCTCCGACCCACGGATAGTTGGTATGATAATAACAACAAAAGGAAAATACATGGTTTGTTTATTTTGCTTTGCTGGCGAGGGTCGTGATGATTTCCAGATTCTACAAAACCAATATCAAACCAACGCATCATGCAAGTATGGAATTTCGTCGTGTGCTTTAGTAACGGAAAAACTGATCTAATTTCATAATAAACCCCCGCCTGCGCTGGGCGCGCTGCTGTTCTTGGCCAGCTTCCGCTTGGCGCGGTGGAGATGCTTGCTGCGCGGACGCTTCATCCGGAATGGCAGAAACTTGGATCGGTGACCCGTTGACGTTCTAAGAAATCTCGGTTGCTTTCTGCTCCCCTGCTAAAAGCTTTTGTTTTAGTGGTCTAATTGGAAAACCCATTACTTGGCAAAACGTTGAAGTCCTAACATCCAAGCAACATGCACCAAAGAAATGGGTTCTTTTCACAAAGAATCGGGTGCGTCCCTTGACTTCCTGAATAGATTGGTCACACACGTGCCACTGAAATGGTGGTTCCCTCCAAACGGTGTTGGTCATAAACTCGGGCAGTAAGTTCTTAAGCAGCGAAATGACACCTGTCTACAGGGGGCCCCTTGCAGTTTCACAAAACACGACCCTTGAGGCAAAACTAGACAAGCCAACACTGCCCTGGTGGCTCACGGCTGTTTCCTGCTCTGTCGTGCACTGCAAGGATGCAGTGTGGCGGAAACTCGAATTCAAGAAATCTGTCACTAGGCAGGAGAGCAAAGGCCCCCCCAAGCCACCCCAGCAACGAGTCATAGAAGCTTCTCAGAAGCGAACCTTTCTCGGGGTAGGGTCGTAGGGCCACTCCTAACTGTCAGCCCGCTACATCGATCCCGCGCGGCTGCTTGCTCGAGCCAGCATGGCAACCATTGACATGTCTATGGTTGAAAACTCAACTCGCCAAGATTCTGCAAATGCCACGCTAGACAAGTCAACCAAAACTAAGGCATCCCCCAAGCAATGAATCTTCATGAGCTCGTGAAAACACCCTGGTGAGCTTGCTAAAATCAGAGCGGAAGGTTAACACATGAGTGTCTTTTTTGGGGGATCCCCAAAAATTGTGGTTGTCCTGTTGGTTTCCCTTGTAGACCACGACAAAGGGGTACCCTTAAAGAAGACAACCCCAAATCGAAACGAGGTTTGAGCAAGCAATCCAATGCCTAGCAAGTTGACGGTAGATGAATCACTCGGGTACAACAGCACATCGCCTGACCATGTTACAGCCTGACCCGTAGTGTCAGAGCTCAGGAGTGGCGTGCCCAGAGCCCGTCCCTTGAGGGCAACGTAGGGGGAGATGTGATGGCAAGAACCTCCATTTGTGGATGCGTCCCCTAGAGGAAGACAACATATGTCCAGTATTGATAGATTCCCTTTAGAACCAATAGAGGGAAATAACACATATCCTTAAAGCAAATGGACGTGATCCAGCTTGCTGACTTGAAATGGAGCGCGGACCAAACCTCACATTTACCCATCCAGCTTCCTTTACCTTGACCTCGGATTAGTGAACCAGTCCTATTGATACTAAAGTGCTCCCTCCAAATAGTGAACCCTGCCAATAATCAACCAGGGGTTCAGAAAATCAGGGGTTCTTCCCATTCCGAGCAAATCGACCATCTTGGGTCTTGGGCTAATAGATTCCGTGAAGCTTTCCATCATTCCAAGGAGGGTAAACACGCTATGCGGCGATTTGGCATCTGCCCCGGCCCTGGGGCACCGGCATGACTGCCGGAAGACCCAAGGCACCTAACGCCTGTCCAATTCGACTCGACCCACGCAGACGGGGGAGTTGGAAACTTTGTGGCATGCGCTTAAGGTCCTCCAGTAGAGAGGTTAGCATAAGGGTATCCTTTTTTTCCTGTAGTCTATTTTGGTAGTGGACCTCCCCCAAAAAAGGGTAAAAGGGCACTACTGGACCACCTAGTCAAGGTGGATGCCCCAACAACTCAGGACTTCTGCCTGTGGCCTCTTTCAACCCAGCGGGTCTTGTCGTCAGAGGTTGTGTTGCTGGTGGGGGGGGAGGGGGGAGGGGGGGAGGGCGGCAGCCTTCATGTTGATTGGCAAATGAGAAAACAACAAACCCTGGCTGAGTACTGGTCTGCATTTCCCCCCCATATTCCGGACCTCTTCGAAGCCAGAGCTCAAAATTGCCGATTCCATGTCGGCATTAAACCAAACAGGGGCCCCATGCGCCCAAAGCGCACCCAACTGACACTCACAGGAAGTAAAGAAGCTTGGACAAAAATAATCTCTGGGCCGGTTTCGGGACTTTGAGGTGCATCTCAAAAGGTCTCTAAAAGTCTCGACACGAACCAAGGGTTGGAATCTCAAAACTCATCCAAGCACCCAGTATCACCGATGAATTCTGCGGCTTTTTATTCCCCTCTTTGGACTGGAGACCAGTAAACATCTAAGTGCTCACCGGCCTGCGTGTCAGGCTGCATAGGAGCTGCAAAGAAGCCATCCTGAAGCAAACGCTCGCTCGGGAAAAACAAACAAATATATATATATATATACACATACATATGTATATATATATATGTATAAATCCACGTCGGATGTTTGGCCAAGGCTCAGCTTCCCCTGCAAGGAACAGCGTGCGGAAAGTAGAAGCCCTTTCACTCACTTCCTGCGTGGATTGGTCCGCCAAAAGCTCAATCTGGTTAACCGCTAAACTGGTCCAAACCTAAAACGCTGAAAGCCCAAGAACTCAGGGAGCGAGTTCAACATCTCGACCAGCTTCTATATTTGCGTGCCCTGGCTCCCAAAGGTCAGACTCGCAGAACACCAAGCCAAGCAAAACCCAACGCCACGAGCCAAGCGGCCTGGTTGTAGCCGAAAGGCATCTCCTGAGCCGAAAGGGGAGGTGCGGCATCCCTGGGTGGGCCAGTTCAAGAACCGCTAAGGATACGTTTTGGTGTGGCTTTTTAGGGTTTTTTGTTGATGGTATCGGCTTTCCTTTTGGCACCCCATTGAAAGCCACAAAAGGCGTTTGGGGTACCCTCAAACAAAACACACCCACTTTTACCAGCTGTCCAACATGGTACCTGACAAGTATTCACTTCAGAAGATTAATGCGAGCGTCCAAATGCCCTCCCACAGATGCTATGTCGTGGGAAGGATGGCCAATATGCTTTGACTTTCCCAAATGCAGAAACGTAAGTGCTAATCTCAATCCCCAGGGTTCAACCCCGAGCAAAAGAAAGGTTGACCCAACTTGGATGATGGCAATCCTTAGGTAAGGTGCTTAAATGAGCCCCCATTGTTTTAATGGTGGTTTGAATCCCAGGGCTTTTTAGACCCTTGAACACCCGGTTCATGAGGCGTGAGAAACGGGTGCGAAAAGGACAGGTTTCTCCACGGCGATGGATCCTCTGGCTTCCGGCCTCCATAGGGTACTGTGGATGCCCCTGGCATATTGCAAGTAAACCAACCACACCCAACCACACAACCAGGATAATTTTTACGGTGAATTGGGGATCTGCCTGTTCCCCTACTTGCAAAATATTTAGGGCACCGAGCTGTACCACCCTCGAACCTGCATACTCCAAAGTGAAGAGCCCCAGCTTGGCTTCCCAGGCTCCATATCCATCAATGCAGGAACTTCCATTCATGAGCCAAGGGTAGCTAGACGGACTTGAGGAAGTCCATCAACAGTCCATGTCTTGAAGTAGGACATCTCGATTGGGGAGGGGTAGCCCTTCTCTAGCCAGCTCTAGCCAGCTCTGCAAGGAGGGGTTTCTCGTGAATTTTGAGCACTCGGTAAAGCCTTTCGCCTCGTTCAGCTTTTGGGGCCGCCCAAAAATGGCTGCCACCCCGGCAAAAAACCGGATTTTGTCAGATCCGGAGTCGCTTGAAGCCAAGCAGTTCCCCGTTTCTCGCCAACTTGGGCTCCGCGCCGGGAACTCTGCCTTACGCACGTGGCGCTGCAGCAGCGCGTCCATTACCGCCTGGTCAGGGGCAGGACGCCCCTCCCCTTGAGGGTATGTAAAGGTTCCCCTCAGTCGGTGGTTTGGATCGGATAAAGGGTCTATATGAGACAAGCTCCACAGAAGACACCGTTGGCCCATGCTGTTCTGGGCTCAGAAAGTGATCCAACTTGGGTGTCCGTCCAGTCCTTTGGACGAACACCGAATATCTGGGTGAATTATAACGACCTCACACGACCGAATTCACCCCATATGGTGGTTTATGTGGGGAATAGGCCCCCACCCACCGCAAGTTTCTGGCTTGTGAATTATTACAATTCACCCAGAAAACATCCCTAAAGAAAGAGCTTCCCCGCTTATAACCACAAGCTATGTGGTCATTTGGGAATGTCATACCAAAATTTGGGCCCGGCCCATTTCGTGTTGTCTGTTTTTTGCCAAGAAGCCCCTCTTGAACCAAGCGTTTCCATTGGCACCCAACAACCCTCAAACGCTGAAATGCTGTTCCCGGCAGTGGGCTCCTGAAGCTCCTCTGGAAACCCTTCCAGGCAAGTGGGCCTCCCTCAGTGTAAGCAGAAGAAGGGGGGCCGCAAATGGCAATCCTCGCTTTCGCTTTGGCTTCTTTGTCTCGTTTTGGGGGTACCCCCCCAACAAAACGCAAAGAAAGACGACGCCACTGGCGGTTGAGGTCCTGTGAAGGGACAAAATGCACTTCGCGCCAGGTGGTTTATCCTAGGGCTTCAGGTTTCGCATCCCAGCTTTCGGATTGTGAGCGGACCCTCCCGCTCGGTTGACAAAAGAGGGGCGCCCAAGACCAAAACCGAGCACGCACGCCCCGAGGCTCCCCATATGTCCCCCTTACACTGCTAACTTAGTTGGAGCCCCCGCAAAATGAAACGGTCTTCCCCCGGTCTTTTACCCTTCAAAACCAACCCCGAAAAGAAACCGTACCCTCAAAAAACGACATACCCACATAAAAAGGGAAAAACCGAAAAAAAAAAGAAAAAGAAAAAAAAAAAAAAAAAACACTGAAAGTTGGCGCCCAAACGCGTGGGATGCTTCCAACCCAGGTGTACCGTACCTGCACGGTGCAGGCCTGGCTGTCGTTGCAGCCGGTGGTGCGCGCATGCTCCAGAATGGCCACCCGGTACCTTGTGTTTGCGTGCTTCGTGTTTGTATGTTTGTATGTTTCATTGATTGATTGTGTGATTGTGTGATTGTTTGTTTGTTTGTTTGTTTGTTTGTTTGTTTGTTTGTTTGTTTGTTTGTTTGTTTGTTTGTTTATTTGTTTGTTTGTGTGTTTTCCCGATTCCAAAAGGAGGGAATCGGGGCTAACCAGATTCCCTAACGTCCATGAGGTTGCCTGAGCGCCCAAGGACTTGACGACCGTCCCTACCAAGCCCTGGTAAGATGGTGTGACGGCATGAGGCCGGGAAACTGACCCTCTTTCCAATCGTGGAAGTGGACAAAGGGGTTGCCCAAAAGGAAAATCGTCTTCCAAAACCCTCCGATCCTCAGCTTCCATGATTGTTGGAGGGAGGGTAACAAATCATGCAAATAAGAGATCCGCAACTAAGGGACCTTGGGTGAGCTTGATTCATGTAACTGCAAATAAGAGATCCGCCACTAAGGGACCTTGGAGCTTGATTTACTCTGTTAATGTCTGGGTCCAATTGCCTTCCCACCAACTGAAATTGAACCCAGCAAAATATGGCTTCAATAGTAACAACTCCCCCAGGTTTCACTAGCGCGTGGGTAAGCCAATTTGGCCCAACTCGGTAGGGCTGTATTCCTGAGACCCACCTGAGCAGAGCATGCACTCACTTCCGCGAGTTGGCAAAGCAACGCCTCAAAATGGGCGTGGGTCAAAATTAAACAACTAGGCTATGGGCCGCAGACTTTAGCGCCTGTCATTCCAAAAGCAAAGCGACATGTCAGACATGTCGATCCCTTTCTTTCTGCTCGAGCCCGACTTTGGCAAGCTCTCCTCGACTGGTTGCTGCGCGGCAGCACCAGCACATCCAGCACCAGCACCAGCAGCTCGTCCGCATCAACAACATCTTCCAGCAAAACCTCATCCACCAGCACCTCATCCAACAGCACAAGCTCGAAATCAACCAGCGTCAGCCCCACATCAAGGGCCAGCTCCACTTCCAGCACGGAAAGCAGCACGTCATCCACCGGCTCGCCCACATCAACATCTTCCAGCACAACCTCATTCACCAGCACCTCATCCAGCAGCACAAGTTCGACATCGACAAGCGGCAGCTCCACCTCGAGCATTCTGTGCCGCGTCACTTCCGAAGTTGGATCAGAGTCCTTCACCCATGATCCTTTCCGTTGTGTTGCCTCATTCCCCCTCATCGTGGCCCAGACTCACAGTCTGGTTCCACAACCTTTTCCTTGGACTCATAGTCCGAACAAATCCCCATAAACTCCAGGCCATACTTGCAGTTTGGAGGGCGGCGGGCTTCACACCCCTCTCAGAGTCATGCGAAGTCCTTGTGTGCAGTACAGGGTAGGCCACCATGAAACCTCACTCACCCTCAAGAAACCTCAGACAGGCTCACTCCACACATCAATCAATGCAGTTTGTGCCCGGCCAACACCCAAAATGTCTAGATCCGAGCTTCAATCTCCACTAGCGCCCTCCGCAAGATTCCTTTGGGCCGTCCGGACACCAATGACCCCAAAGCCAGATGCCCATTTGAGTGGGGAACTCACCCAACGGAACCCTGGCCTCATAACCCCTGGTTGACCTGCCCCCGAGAAGAGTGGGGAGTCAGACCACTTTTGAAGAGAACCCCTTTTTTCCGGGAGCAACTCTGAGGCTCCCACTGCCTCAGCCCCTCATCATCTGGCTCTGGCGCCCCGTTCCTCAAAAAAAAATATCAAGCAGCGGGGGGAGCAGCTCGATTTCGCGGTGCAAAAGCATCTCACCTTCCTTCCATGTCCGCTTTCCGTCCGGAAACCTCCAATGACAGATTCATACAGATTCCCTTTGACACCAAGACGGGAAAACGCAAACAAATGCGGACATGCATTTTTGGATGTACACCTAGGGGCCTAGGGGTGGTTCTTTGACTAGACAAACCCATTGAACAATTGGATGCCCATCGTTTTAGGATGGCTCTGCTAAAAATGTACGAAGCGACAGGTTGCACCGATCGGAGGCCAAAGGAGGCGGGTTCCATGGTGTGCTTTGTGATGTGGGTGATCCTCAAAGAACAGTTGGTTAGAAAGATTGATAGCTAGACAGACAGAAAGGCAGCCACTCAGACACCCTGCGGGGAGTCATTGCAACCTGGTGACCAAAAGGCAAAGACCACGGCTGTTGAGGGCGTCGTCCTTCCATTCTCTTAAGATTCCCTTTAACGCCCATGGATCACCTCGCTTCCTGAGTGGACTGGCCAAGACAAGCCCAGGAATTTCACATTTACGACTACCAGGTCCTCAGTAGAGAGGTTAGAATAAGGGGTACCCTTCTTCTGTAGTCTTTTTTAAGAGGGGAGCCCTCCCCCAAAAAGGGTAAAAGGGCGCGACTGCAAAACATAGACCTCACTTGTCTTTCCACAAAGTTTGAAGTCCAGGAGTGAGGATCGGCTTGAAAAAAGATTCTGAAGTGACAGCAATTGGCTCAATTCCCTCGGGCAGAGGGGATGACTCGGATTACAAAGAATCACATGCAAAACTGTTACAGTGAATGCTCTAAGAATATTGCCAATAGGAGAGGAAGTGAACCCCTGAATTTACCCTAACTTCCCATGATTTGGTGGGTGGGTGTGGTTGGTTTAGTTGCAACATATTTCGGGCATCCAGCGTAGCTTTCGCTTGCCTCCCCAGATTCTGTAGCCAGTTGCCCTTCTTGCTGGTGCTCGGAGAATGAGTTGGAATGACCCCAAGACGAACCATGTGCCCCAAGAAAACCCGTCCCCTACTGTGGATGGACGAAATCCTGCACCACCCAAGAAACCCTGGAATGATGATTTACCTGCAAATACTAACGAACAATGGTTTCCCATGATTTCAAAGTGGTGCAGGATTTTGTCCATCCACAGTATGGCTTCCTTTGAGGGATCCACTTCCTCCGGTTCATTCCCAGCACCTGGGCCGTGGTCCTTCCCCCTCGCGCCAGCCAGTCTTTTGGGGTCTTAATTCCTGTTGCGAGTCGAGTCACGCCTGGCGTCTCGCCAAATTCTGCTCCCTCCCTCCGTTCCCCCGGGGCGAGCGGCTGCAACTTCACCTTGATGTTGGACAGCGCCCTGGCTCAAAGCTTTCGTGCAACACGCCGTGTCTTGTCTTATCCCAAGAAGGAGTGCGCGTGTCCTTCTGGTTGGTCGAAAGACAACAAAACAACAGAAAGACCCAACAAGAAACATCCAACAAGGGGTGCCAACTCCGCAAAAAGACACCTCTTGCTGCTTAGTGTGCGAAAGTTGTAAGTTCCCACAAAAGTCAAAGCCTAAAGATCTAACCCAGCAGTCAAGCAATGGCAGCTCCGGATGAATAATCCACTGGATCATTGATAGGGGGTGTCCCCATTTTGTCGGAATCCTTTACTTTTCTGGGCGGCACCCCTGTATTCACAGGATGGGCGTATTGCCGCTGCAGTTGGGTGGAAAGAGATGGACAACTCCCTTCTGGGTAAAAGGGACGATTCAACCACAACCAGGAAGCTCTCCTTTCCCGTACCCGCATAAAGGGAATCGTGCCATCATGTGCCATCTACTTTCACCCAACTATTTCCCGCCCGTACAAGGAACCCACCAGTTGCATGGTTCAGTTCGGGGTTCCAACGAAGACAACTCCTCCACTTCGGGTTCCATGTTCATCTGCTGATAATTTAGACGCCACGAGCCACTGGCAACGAGCCACTGCTCCAAGGGGAAAACGGCCTCGAACACCGCCGGACCGCGGAAAAAGACAGAACAACTATGGCTCACTTCCTGAGCCCCACGGGGTCCAAATACCTTCTGAGGTACTTAGACCCCGTTTTACCCATCCTCATGAAGTACTTCGAAATTCTGGGAGTGGACTGGCCAACAAAAAAAGTCTGAATTGTTTATTTGCCAAAATGGTTTCCCCAACAAGTTTAAAGTCCAGCAACTCAAGAAGTGAGATTAGGTGCCTCATGTTCCTCGGGTCAACGGAACGGGTGATCCCCCTCTCACAGAAACGGGGGAAAAGGCATAACCAAAACCTGGCCATGACGACGTCCACCAAAAACCAGGTCGAGGGAACGACTGGACAACAGGTTGGTGGGTTTCTTGATTTCTATCTGAAACTTGAATGAACTTTCAGTGGGATGTGCCATGAACGACTCTAAACCCTAAAGGACATCTGTAGCTACGACCCAAAGGCCATCAAAAGGCTTAAAAACTCAAGAGGTGAGCCAAAAGTATTCACTGAATCGGAAACCAGTAACCAACCACCCCCAAACAAACAACCTTAAAACCCTGTCGAGAAGCCACATCCGCAAAGCCATAAAATCTGGAAGCACCACGTAATACGGGTGGGTCGTTTTGAGGGCACCCCCTTTGTGTGGTTGTAAAAGGAAGCCGGTTTGGCCGTTTTGGCCGTTTGGGTCCCCCAAACCCCATTTGAATGTGGATAGGCACCCTGGAGGGGGTGGGGTAATGTTTTTTTTTTCTCCTCCCAGAGAAGAGCACCAGGAACCCGAAGCCCCTCCAATCTTACGGGTCCGAATGATCTCCGACTCACGGAGCTGGGCGCAGGGTCCAGGTCGACTTGCACGTTTTGCATTTTGGCGTCTCCTGGAAAAATGAGAAAACATATGTGTCCGGTATAGATTCCCTTTAAAGCCAACAGGGGAAATAAAAGAAAGCTGAGATGCGAATGGACATACACCTAGGGGTGGTTCTTTGACTGTGACTTCCATTTGCTTAAGTCCCTTGCGGGGAAAAAACATATTTCCAGTAGCGATAGGTCCCCTTTTAACACCAAGGGGGATATATAACACTCGCCTGCCCAGTGGCCGTGAAGAAAAAAAACAGTTGTTTTTGTGCTTGAGTTTAAAGGGAATCCTTAACCCGAGAAAAATAAAAGTTAAAGAAAGGAAGCGACCCACTGGGCAACAAAAGAACATGATCATTTCAGCAAACGATAAACCAAATTTCCAGTAGTGATAGAGCCCCGTTAAAACTATCGGGGGGGACATGTAACATATATGTTTAACCAAATGGAAGAAAAGCATGTTGACACTCATTGGGTGCCGCCTGAGCCAGAGTTTTCGCTCCGCAATGGTGCGAGCAGAGAAGAGGTGCTGGTCCACGGTGAAGCAGGTGCAACCTCGGGTCAAGCAGGTGCAAAGGATCGAGTGGATGGGCCAAAAGTAGCCAAACGGTTGATTTACCCCAGTGGATCCATTTGTTTCCTGGCTTTGTAAGAAATAAGGGAAAAAACCAAAAGGAAAACCAGCTGGTTTCCTCTCCTAGTGTGTTTTAACTGGGGCCAAACCCCAGCGACTAAAGCCCGAAACAGAACTCAGGGAGTGAGTTGCGCAAAAAACCTCCAAGTGATTGGTGAATAAGCAGCAGTTCGGAAAACGTTGCAAGCAAGGGCCTGATTTCAATGGGGGGGTGCAAGGTGTGGGGTACTTTCAGGGTCACCCCCTGTTTCCAGGGCTTCCGACATATTTTTGTCGCACCCCGAGAGGACACAAGTCAGGCTTGCAGCCAAAGGCTGATGTTTGAAACCACAAAAGGGGAACATAGGGTGAACTTTCTTTGCGATTCATGTCCACCAACCATTTCTCAACGGGGATGGCCACTGCGCCACAACTCAGAGCCAAATGTCAACAACAACCTACCAGAACTACTGGGCTGTCCGCTTTCACATCCCCTGCTCAAAGTGAGTATGTGTTAGTGGGTTTACTTGAATGGAAACCCTACTAAACCAACCAAACACAACTAAAAGCCCCAGGGACCGGGGGAAAAAAACAACTCTACCACTAAACCAACCCAACAAAAAGAAAAGGAAAACACACAACCCAAAGCCTAAGGAACCGGATGGCCGGGAAAACCACCCAGTTTTGAAGACCAACCTGTGGCCCAATGAGAAAAAAACCACCACCGCACCGCGACGACTTCGCGAGGAATGCGCCGAATGCGCTGCGAGGCCGGCGCTGATGCCGATCTTCTCAGTGCAGACTGTACCTTCGGAAAGCCCGCGGGCAGGGAACTCGCCGGCACGGCGAGTAGAGCCACTACGAAATGGGCTACGGACTTTTCAGCTGCGGGACTGAGGAGGGGTGGACATGTTTTAGAGGTTTTGTGGGGGAGGAGGTTTTTTTTCCAAGATGGAAGCTAGCCACTTGACTTTAGCACGTGATTGGCTTCCCGATTCAAAGGCCCGCCAACTGGAACAAGGCTCCTCAGCCCCGCACGTGGGCTCAGAATGACCTCCGAGAGGCTGTCCTCACCCGCCCATCGGAGCCCGCGGAATGGCTGGACAATGTGTGGTTAAAATGGTGGAACGTGGTTGACATCAGTACTCACTTGTTTTTTTTAGGGACCCAGAAATCAAAGGTGATCAGCTTTTGGGACCTTTCCACCTTTCCAGGACCTTCCAGTTCCAAGATTGCTGGAAAGAGGGTGTATACCTCTCCAATCAGCTGGACAGAGCCCTGAACAAGAAAACTGCACACAACAGCCTGAAGTGGGCCATTTGAATGTCTTTTCTTCAGGGGTGTTTTTTTTCCTAGAAGCCAAACGGCACCCGGCTCAGGTTGTTGAAAAGGGAATCCAACAAAACGCCTGGTTCCTTCATGTTGAAAACTTGGTTGCTGTTGATCCCTCTGCAAAAAGTTTAACTTTTTGTGGGTTTAGTGGAAAACCCGGAAAACCCATTAATTTTCCCAAAAGTTAAAGTCTAAAGATCCAACCCAATAGCAGTCAAGAAAGCAGGAAACGAATGAAGCGGAGTGGGGCACCCTTGGAAGTCCATTGTTGAATCGGCCGATTCGCCAGGTCAGTTTTCTAGGATGTGGAACCCCAAAATAACTGGGCTTCCTTAAGTTCAAGAAAACCAGCCCACCCCCTTCTCATCCCTCAACTCTCATCTCTCTCTCTCTCTCTCCCTCTACCCTTGCATCCAGTAATGGTCCTGGTGCTACATAAAACGTGTCTGGACAATCCCTTTGTGGCTTCCCATTGGCTCACTGGCTGAGTGGATGGCCAACACAAGTTCAAACTTTATATTTACCACCTAAAATGTTCTTCCCCAAAAAGTTTAAAGTTTATGAACTCAGGAAGTGAGTGGTTTGGACAAACGAACCCTGGGCCATTTGCCACGTCTTTTGTTTCCAGCATGGCTCCTGGCAGTTCTCATTGTCGTACATGACCAGCCGGCCCTGCGGATCCAATCCGATTCGCATTTCTCCGGCCGCCGGAGCGGATCGATCCGGAAAAAAAACAAAAAACAAAAACGCCCGCGCCGTGCGGAGCGCCGGCGCTCCACATTTCCGGGCTGTCCGTGTTCGGATCCGCTGAAAGTGAACAACTTTCCGTGGGTTAAATGCAAATCCCCGCGAAACACTCAAAGGCTAGAAAGCCAAGGAACCGGACGGCTGGGAGCCACCAAGATTTGTTGGTCGGCCCCGCACAAAACTCAGAAGCGGCGCTTCACCAAATCCCTCCAGTCCTGCAAGCTCGGAGAAGGGTGCCGGAAGACTGATTTCCGGTTTTGGGGAGGCCCTAGGTCGTGCACTTCCATAGCGGGTAAGGCGTATTTTACCTTGGCTCAGTGCTAGTTGGTTTGCCACAAGCTGGCTGGCTAGTTGGCGTCAATTGGGGCGCCGCAAGGGTAGAACTGCCCATCTGAAAGACAGTCCAAAACGTAATTCAAACTGAAAGCAGTGATTTCAACAGGTTGCTAGTTTTGACAAACTGCAAAGTCCTTCTGGTTCTGCCAAAGCGGTATCAAGATCTACGGTCTCGCCAGGGACGCTGCTCAAATCCACCGCAAATCCGCCAGGCTCAGCACAAACAGCCGAAAGGGCCATGTTGTGGCCGTCGTTGGTCGCATTCCTTTCCGTAGGAAGCTTATTCTCCCAAGCTCTGACAGCAATCAAGGAAACATGTCAAGTAAATTGCCGCAACCCAACCTGAAATACTCAAGAAACACATGCGCCAGGAAACGTGCGATCAATACATAGCCCTGAAATGCATGCCCGGGCTGATCAAGACGTCCTCACCTGGGGAGTTGCTTCACGTTTGTTCCCTAGCACCGGAGCCAACCTAGTCAGCGCTGTGCAGCACACAACAAGTCTTCAACTATGCCCTGAATACTCCCCGACCTTGGGTTGAGGGGAAAAACAGCATCCCTTCCGCGAGTATATGTGCCCACCCAATGCCCGTGAGGCAAATTGAAGCCAGGATGCGGAAGTCGCCTGTTCGCCCTGCTGCGGCTGAAGCTCGCAATACAGCACCTTCCGCGCTGCGCAGGGCCCGATAGATCAGATTGAACTTCCTGCCCGAAGAAAGTCAGTCTTTCTTTCGCCTAAGCCCCCTGTAAAAAAATGAAAACATGTTTCCAGTAGTGAAATAGTTTCCTTTTAAAACCAACCAAGGAGTATAGAAACAAGATTCATTTCAGCAAATGGAAGAAGCACAAATCGTCCGGTGAGCATCAAAGTCATGCGGCAGCCCAGGCTGCTAGACGGCGGGGATGACAAGCCAGGATATCACCGGTTTTCAGCGGCCCAAGCTTGGCTCTGCCGACCATGTTGACATGCTTGCCTTGCTCAAGGAACTGAGCGATGGCCCCTTTGAAGTTGGGTGGGGGGGGGGGGACCCAAAACCAGAATGGTACTTCTGAAAGTTTCCCTTTGAAATCACAGAGCAGGATACCCTTTTTCAGGAGCCACCCATTTGCCGAAGCATTCTTTGCCATATTTGCTGCAGGATGAGCCAGAAAAGGCAAATTGAAAGCCAAGAAGGTTTCCGCGTATGGATCGCTCATCCCCTTTGAGGGTGGCCTTTTGGCGGTTTCAAAAAAGGAATCCAAAGGAAAACTAACATTTATCGGGGGTCCCCTAAGCGCCCTAAGAAAGACACACCCAGTCACACACCTGCGCTAGGCCGCTAGGCGCCCCGCAGAGGTCGTGCTGGTATCATCATGGTGGGCCAAGTACCCCGCCTCAAATCGAGAGGTGCGGCTTGCAGTCGCCTTGCAGCTGAGTTTTTTGGCGGGCGTTGGCTGTTATGCTGCAGTGGTGAAGGTTCTAGGGGTTGATTCCTTGGCCATTCTTTTCAACCATCGTTCTTTTCGAAAACCGGATCCGTTTTCCCCGGGTTTCCGGAGGTTTTCTAGAAAGATTCGGATCCCAAATAAAAACTAGAAATGTGTGTGTGTGTGATGTGTGTCTACGTACTGGTTGCTTCCTAGCTGCTGGCTGCTGATTGTTCAGGCGGCTGATGAGGCTGGTGCTGGTGTGGTGTTGGTGCAAAAACCGCCAGGTTTCACGGACTTTTCCATTTCCAGTGCACCAGGGTTTCATTTCTCAGGGAAATCCGGCCCATTCTTGAGCCACATCCTCTTTACTTCCATTCGAATTTGCCTAAACTCCTGGAAAAAAATGAGAACATATTTCCAGTAGTGAAATCAATTCCATTTAAAATCAGCAGGGGAAGAAAGCAACATATTCCTGAGATGGAAGTTTCGGCGGGATCTGCGCTCCCCCAAATGTACCGAACAGCCCCACCTTTTTGGGCGCCTTGGGCCCCGGCCATGATGCGGCGCCGCGTGTGAGGTGCCTGGACCCGGGACCGCTCGATTCAAGCGGCCCGGAGCCTACGAATCAGACCCCGAAGGATCATGTTTTCTCAGAAAATGGCGATGCTAGATTTAAATAGTAGTGGCAGTACTAAAGTCAATACTGGAAATCTAAAACTCAGTACTGGCAATACTGTGGATGGACGAAATTCATTTCGCACCACCTAAGAAACCCTGGAATGATGATTCCCCTATAAATAGCGATGAACAAGGGAAACTCGCATGGGTTTTTACCTGCAGGATTTCGTCCATTCACAGTATTGCCAGTACTGAGTTTCAGAGTTGTACATTTAGCATTGCCAGTGCTTAATTTAGTATCGCCAGTGATCATTTATGATAATTTAGTATTGCCAAACCACCGGGTGGTTGGTAGCCACCCCCTTTCATTCAAACCGTTCCGGACATGCTCCGAAGTTGAGACTTTCTGTGACTGATCAAGCATGACATGAGGTCGAAAGCAGCTTTGGGCTGCCTAAGAGGCACTCGGCTTGTGGGGCTTGCTTCCTCGTGTCCACTCGCAAACTCGTGGAATCTGGTCCTCCGGGGTCCCCGGCGTTTGCGAGAGGCCGCACAGCGATCTGGAAGCTCGGGAAGAGGGATTGGGTCACCTGAGCTCGGCATCCCGTCGACAAAATTTTGTCAGTTTTTGTTAGGTCCTCCAGTAGAGAGGATAGAATAAGGGTACCCGAGTTTTCCTGTAGTCTATGTTAGTAGGGGAACCCACCCCCAAAAAAGGAGAGAGAAGGGCACTACTGGGAGAGCTAGTTTTTCAGGAAGAACTGCGGCTGTTTCCTCGAAGCATTGGGATTTCTTTTGGCCAAAAGGGAACCAACCCATGGGTTCAAGTCGTTTCACCGAAAAGTATATATGATGATGGGAACCTTGATGAACACATGGTTGCAACTTCAGGGGCGAAACAGCGGCTTCCATGTCAGAGCGGATTCACTTGATCCAAGCAGCAACTTGTTGCTGGCCAAAGTGGGAAATGAAGGACCGCAAAAACAGGCAACAGGTTTAACTCAGACTTGCCCCAGAGAGGACCCAGACATAAAAAGCGATCGCTGTTTGGGGCCGTGACTCGTTTGGTGGACCAACATGGGAAAACTAAAAGATTGAACGGTCGAGTCGCTTTGCCTCCAGTTGCGGATGCATCCCCTGGAAAAGCTGAACATGTTTCCAGTGATAGACCCCCTTTAAAACCCACAGGGCATAAAAGTAATACATATATGGCCTGTCAAAATTCGGGACCCCTTTAAACAATGCTTGTTCCTTTGGGTTTCCCTTTGGAAGCAACCAAAAGGGGGACACCCGAGGGGTTTGTTTGCTCTGTTTCCAACAGCCTCCGATCGTTAGCTTCCATGATTGGAGGTCGGGCAACTTGTCTGGGTTTGGTGGGGATTCATCACTTTAGCGGGACACTCCCACAGGCCCTAATGTGGATGGTTGCGAAATCCATTTCGCGCCACCATTCAGAAACCCTGGTGTCTGATGGTTCGCCTGCAAGTACCGACCAACGTTATGGTTTCAACCATGGTTTCCAAGTGGTGCGAAATGGATTTCGTAACCATCCACAGTAGGGTGGGTTCTACTTAGATCCGGGGTCAAGACTTGGGGGAGTCTTGGGGGAACCCTTCTTTTGGTGGTCCAAAAGGGAAGCCAAAAAGAGAACAACCATTTTGAGGGGTCGCCCTTAAAAACGACATATACCCTCCCACTTTTTGTTTTTTAACATGGAACCGTTCGACATTTCGGGGGGGGTCCTGGTTTGGACCATTTTCCTCTCAAAGGGACCGGGTCCCGAACATCAGGGGTCCCTTACCAAAAAAAAGAAAAAAAAGAAAGGAAGGGAGGGTATGATGCCGTTCCTGCTGCAACCAGGTCCTTTCCACTATCTAACTGGCTCTTTGGTCGCCTCGCGAGCAAGCAAGCCGAATGCTGTGAAGCAGGGCGCAGCTGACAAGAAGCCGCTTCGCCCACACGTTTAACCCAAATCTTTCACACCTATGCCATCACATCAGAGCGATTCCTAAGCAAATCATGCCAAATCTACGCCGGCAATGCACTGTGGCATGTCAGCATGCATTGATACACAGGCAACGCCCTATGCAGCAAGCTGCAACTATCGTTCAAATGTCATAGTAGTTGCAACGCAACAAAACACTGCAACAAAATGCTGGTGTGTTGAGGCGGCTGCAAGGGCAGAGCAAGATGTTGCCATCGAAGCGTCAGCCAAGGCCCGTGTTCTTAGTTGTATTATGCTCACACTTGAGCACTTCAATGGCGAGCAAGCGATACGCTTATCCGCAAACGGACCTTTTCGTGGCCTTTTAACCACGTCATTCTTTACATGCATCTCGATGTTACGGTTGAAATGTTTCCAGTCTTGGGCAAGAAAATGTTTGGCCTCTAGAACGCTCTGGTCGATCTGTCTCATGGACGATTTTGTCGGGTCCTTGGGGCAACCACGGCGGGGCGCCTGCCGGAGACATCGTGTTAGTCATAGCAAAGGTCAGGCGAGAGCATGCTTGCACTCTCAAGGGGCGAACTTCCTCCTGAAACGTCAACTTCCGGTTCTGGCCTGGAAACCAGTTCGAGAATTTGAGGACAGCTAGGCTATCATGCTACAGCTTCGGTTATTCAGGGCAAGCTTGCCAGCAAGTCCGAAATGCAAGTACATTGCGCCAGTAACGTCATGCTTTAAGCAATCCCAGCTTGCGCCAACAATGTTGCGCAAATTAAAGCAGCAAAGCAAAGCGCTGCCTCAGCTTGTATTGAACTACCGCATCATGACTGAGCGGGCCTGCAAAGTGGTTTTACCGCTTGGTGGCTAGCAGCTGCGCCATATGATACATACGCGCAAGTATGGATGAACATGCGCAGGATCTCTGCTCTTTGAACGGCCAGTGGCCTCGCGACAACCTTCATGAGTAGCGCCCTCATCGTGCAAACAAGCGCCGACCCAGTGTAGGCTGCAGATTTCAAGCACTGTTTGTAGGAGGAGCCGCAAAAGGCCACCAGTCAACAAACCAAGGTGCTGCTTAGAACTGGCGATGGTAGCTGGCGAAGCAAGCTTCTTGGTAACCACATGCACTTGGCAGAAAACTAGGTTGCCGGTCGGATGAATTTGGCTTGCTGGCGATGATGTATTTTCCATGAATTGGCTGGCCCTTTGGCTGCCTGAGCATGATGAGTGGCCGAGTGGTTCTGGCTAGGGGTGATTGGTAGCCAAAAATGGCTTCGCTGGGGGCCAAAATGGCTTCGCTGGGGGTGATTGGTGGCCAAAATGTTATGGCTCGGGGTGATTGATGGCCAAAATGCTTTGGCTGGGGGTGATTGGTAGCCAAATAGGTCTGGCCAGGGGTGATTGGTAGCCAACAAGGTTTGGCTGGGGGTGATTGGTAGCCAAAAAGTTTTGGCTGGGGGTGATTGATCAACATGTTGTGGCTGGGGGTGATTGTAGCCAAATAGGTTTGGCTGGGGGTGATTGGTAGCCAAAAAGTTTTGGCTGGGGGTGATTGGTAGCCAAAAAGTTTTGGCTGGGGGTGATTGATGGCCAAAATGTTTTGGCTGCGGGTGATTGGTAGCCAAATAGGTTTGGCTGGGGGTGATTGGTAGCCAAATAGGTTTGGCTGGGGGTGATTGGTGGCCAAAAAGGTTTGGCTGGGGGTGATTGGTGGCCAAAAAGTTTTGGCTGGGGGTGATTGGGTTTCCAGAAACCCCGTCACAATCTGCCAAATGCACTTGGCCAGCCAGGGCAGTCAATCAACGCCGGCACAAGGCGGGCGCAGCCAGAATTGTGATTGGGTTTCTGGAAACCCAATCACAATTTCTCAGTTAAAAAAGCATTGTAATCACTCGCGGATCCAAATAGCACAGGTCGTGGGATGATTGATTTCTTAGTTGGCTTTGTCAGTGTGATTGGGTTTCTAGAAACCCAGTCACAATTCTGGCTCCGTCCCCCTTGTCCCGACGTTGATTGACTGCCCTGGCTGGCCAAGTGCATTTGGCAGATTGTGACGGGGTTTCTGGAAACCCAATCACACCCAGCCAAAACTTGTTGGCTACCAATCACCCCCAGCCAAACCTTTTTGGCCACCAATCACCCCCAGCCAAACCTATTTGGCTACCAATCACCCCCAGCCAAACCTATTTGGCAACCAATCACCCCCAGCCAAAACATTTTGGCTACCAATCACCCGCAGCCAAAGCATTTTGGCCATCAATCACCCCCAGCCAAAACTTTTTGGCTACCAATCACCCCCAGCCAAAACTTTTCGGCAATCCCCCCTGGCCAAACCTATTTGGCTACCAATCACCCCCAGCCAAAACATTTTGGCCATCAATCACCCCCAGCCATAACATTTTGGCCACCAATCACCCCCAGCCAAAACTTTTTGGCTCCAATCACCCCCAGCCAAAACAATTTGGCTACGAATCACCCCCAGCGAAAACTGTTTGGCTACCAATCCCCCCCAGCGAAGCCATTTTGGCTACCCATCACCCCCAGCGAAGCCATTTTTGGCTACCAATCACCCCTAGCCAAAACCACTCGGCCACTCATCATGCTCAGGCAGCCAAAGGGCCAGCCAATTCATGGAAAATACATCATCGCCAGCAAGCCAAATTCATCCGACCGGCAACCTAATTTTCTGCCAAGTGCATGTGGTTACCAAGAAGCTTGCTTCGCCAGCTACCATCGCCAGTTCTAAGCAGCACCTTGGTTTGTTGACTGGTGGCCTTTTGCGGCTCCTCCTACAAACAGTGCTTGAAATCTGCAGCCTACACTGGGTCGGCGCTTGTTTGCACGATGAGGGCGCTACTCATGAAGGTTGTCGCGAAGCCACTGGCCGTTCAAAGAGCAGAGATCCTGCGCATGTTCATCCATACTTGCGCATATGTATCATATGGCGCAGCTGCTAGCCACCAAGCGGTAAAACCACTTTGCAGGCCCGCTCAGTCATGATGCGGTAGTTCAATACAAGCTGAGGCAGCGCTTTGCTTTGCTGCTTTAATTTGCGCAACATTGTTGGCGCAAGCTGGGATTGCTGAAAGCATGACGTCACTGGCGCAATGTACTTGCATTTCGGACTTGCTGGCAAGCTTGCCCTGAATAACCGAAGCTGTAGCATGATAGCCTAGCTGTCCTCAAATTCTCGAACTGGTTTCCAGGCCAGAACCGGAAGTTGACGTTTCAGGAGGTAGTTCGCCCTTTGAGAGTGCAAGCACTTATTCTTGACTTGGCCTGCTCTCGCCTGACCTTTGTTTATGACTAACACGATGTCTCCGGCAGGCGCCCCGCCGTGGTTGCCGCAAGGACCCGACAAAATCGTCCATGAGACAAATCGACCAGAGCGTTCTAGAGGCCAAACATTTTCTTGAAGATATCTGGAAACATTTCAACCGTAACATCGAGATGCACGTAAAGAATGACGTGGTTGAAAGGCGAAAAGGTCCGTTTGCGGATAAGCGTATCGCTTGCTCGCCATTGAAGTGCTCAAGTGTGAGCATAATACAACTAAGAACACGGGCCTTGGCTGACGCTTCGATGGCAACATCTTGCTCTGCCCTTGCAGCCGCCTCAACACACCAGCATTTTGTTGCAGTGTTTTGTTGCGTTGCAACTACTATGACATTTGAACGATAATTGCAGCTTGCTGCATAGGGTGTTGCCTGTGTATCACTGCATGCTGATATGCCACAGTGCATTGCCGGCGTAGATTTGGCATGATTCGCTTAGGAATCGCTCTGATGGCATAGGTGTGAAAGATTGGGGTTAAACGTGTAGGCGAAGCGGCTTCTTGTCAGCTGCGCCCTGCTTCACAACATAGGGCTGGCTTGCGCACGCCGCAACCAAAGAGCCAGTTAGATAGTGGAAAGGACCTGGTTGCAGTAGGAATTGCATTATGGTGTTTCGGTATTTTTTTTGGGTGGGGGACAAATGGTGTGTTGTTTTTCCTTTTGTGGCTTCCCTTTTAGACCCCTCAAAATGGTGGGCTCATCCCTACACCGAAAAAACCCGCCCCGCCAGGTTTCCTCGACGAAGCCGACGAGTTGGAGGTCTGGACGTCTGGGCCCCGGTGCCAGGCGCACCGCCCGGGAGATGTCCAGCACCTGGCGGCTGCGAGAAGCGAGGCGCGCTTCGCTTCGGGTGGATTCCACGGCCGAAGAGCCGTCGAAAAAGGCCAAAAAGGTGGCCACCTGCCACTGAAAAGATGGGAAGCCCAAATGGCTGTGGTTGTCAAAAAATGGGTAACCCCTCAATGGAGCCCTGGTAAATGGAAGGACTAAAACCTGTGGTCCGATTCCTGGTGGTTGAATTTTGACCCATACCTAAATCAAGAAGGCGAAAGGGAAAGGAACGGAAATCCAAATCAGCTCATGGCCAAAGGAAGCAAATGCTTCAGCTTTTGTAGACCAAAAGGGGAACCCAAACGGGGAAATACCGCAAAGCTCGAGAGATGTCGATTGGATTGCCGGTGAGTGGCCTCATGGCCCAAAGGTAACGACCGACAAACTGTTTCAGGGGGGGGGGGGTCCTGAGGCACGGCACTGGGGAAAAGCCAAGGCCCCAGTTCCGTTGAAGTGATACATCCAGCGCCCACAAAAAGACCGTGCAAACTTGAGTGAGTGAGTGAAGTGATATATGGGGCCTGGAGGCTGGGGAGAGGAGAGGGAGCCCAAACTAGCCCTTGTTAAGCCCTGAGTAAAATCTTGAAAGTACTCCCTCCCCTCCCTGCCCGTGAAATTGGGAAGGTTGGCCTTTGGGGGCCATGAGACGAAAAATAGACAAACATGGGGAAGTCATCAGGTTCAAAGGTCAGCCTTGGATTCCCAAGCAAGCAACGAGAGATGGTTCGCAGGTGGGCCACTCCCCAGTGAAGGGCCAGCAAGTGATGGGAGCCCAAAGCGACGATATGGGAAACCGAAGGAGGACTACTTAAAGTTAAAGGGGAACCAATGGGGGCCCAATGCGGGCCCAATGGAGACCAAAGGGGGACCAAAGGGGGACCAAAGGGGACAGTACCAACAAGGGTTTGGCACAATACTTGGTAAGGGGAGCAAAAAATCAAATTTTGGCAGTTCAGTGGGGATTTCAACCTCTCAACCACAATAAGCAACCATGTAAAATGTTTCCCAACAACCATAAATAAGCTGTGGTTGGAAAGGAAAGCCAGAAGGAAAACCCAGATGTGTTGATGCTGCCATGCTGGTGCTCATAGCGCCCGGTCCACTTGGGTGCGGGTTCTCAAGGCGGCTTGCTTTGGGAGTGCTGGGATCTAGGTGAAGTCACTTGTGTCGAGAGTTCTTCGAAGAACGGTGGTGGGGGGGGGTTCGAAAAACGGTGTGGTGGGTTCTACGGCACGTCTTGGGCCACGCCCTTGGTTTCAAAGCACCGGTTCGGCGTTTCGGCAGTTGACCCTTGGTTGATGGCTTGGCTTGGCTTGAGAATTTGAACCCCTGGTTCTTGTAGAAGGTATATGGGAAGACATATCCCTAACCCTGCACACCACCAACCCAAATGACGGGAAGCTGATTTCAGGTTGCCTTTGCCAGGTACAAGACATGTCCAAGGCGAAAAAGATTTGAGAGCCTGGAGCAACCGGTCTTTGGGGAGATACTTCGAATGCAGGAAACATGTCTGACGTTCCCTGTGCCACTCCCCTTGTCAAGGCTCTAGCGTGTTTAGGCCTTGGTTTGGTCCTCAGGTGAGAGATGGTGAGAGCCTCGACTGCCCGGCCGCAACTTGCAGCCCACTCGCCGCAGGCGCCATTTCTCGCAGGCGTCAGTTCGATGGACCCAGCTCGCAATGGCCACAAACCCCGCCCCCCTGCAGCTTTCCCCCCCCAACTTACAGGTGATTCCAAGAACGACCCACCAAGGCCGGCCCCGAGAAAAGAAAAACTAACTTGTTATATCTAATACTTTAAAACGAGGGTGACCGGGTGGGGATAGGCACATGTGTTCGCTCCTCCCCCAAGCCTATGGTGACACGTCTGGCGTTCGGGCAACCCCGTAGGAGGGGGACCCTACTTCCGTGCGTCGGTTCGCAACTCAACACACTTTGCTGAAAACCGCGAAAGCGCCAAAGAAATTGGCGCCAATCTTTTGAAGGGTGCTTTGTGGCCCAACAACTGCGAGTACTGTGGATGGACGAAATCACGAGCTGGACTTGATGAAGCGTTATACAGATGAATGATGGTGCTTGGCGTAGATTTCGTCCATCCACAGCTACCACCCTGTTCGGGTCTTCAGCTGGTTCTTCGATGCGGGGAAAAAGCACGGGCTTATGGCTCACATGCTCCAAAGCTGCAGGAGTCGGGAGTCGGACATCTGGAGCAAAGGCAAAACCTCGATCCATGGCCCACTTCTGGTGAGGGTGAAGCTGCCTGCCTTCTTTGGAGATCACAAGAACCTTTCTGGGGGGGGGATGCAATGATTAGCCTATGTTTGCAAACCAAGCTTGCGGTGAAGAAAAAGCTTACCAAAAAAACAAGCAGAAGGGAAGAATCGCGCCCATGGTCAGCCCAAAGAGCCCATTTAAAACACCACCCTCATTTTGGGGAATCAGCAAGCTGGGTGAATCATGATCCCACCTAAAATGGGTTTCAGCTTGTTGCAAGTACCCCCTTGTGGTGTGGGCTGCAAAGGGAAAACCAACAGAACCACCTGTGGGGGGTCCCCGATGTTTGACGCAAAATAGTCATGGCGTCTGGAACACACTCCTGATTTGACCTAGCAAATGATTCGAGCCAAGCTGTGTCCTGTGGACCCTAAGCGTTTCAACTTGTCATTTGCTGACCTGCTGATTTGATGATCCGTCCAGACAAAGGTCTAAAACACTTTTCGCCCTTGACAAAATGATGAAGGCTGACCAAAACAAGCTATTAAAGGCAAACAAAATGGGTTCCAGACCACTTAAAAGGTCCTTTACATAGGATGAACAATAATCAAACCATGACCCCAGGCAATCGTCTTCAAAGTTTGCCAAGTCACCGGGTAAGTTTGCGACCAAATTCTTCAGGCAGTTTCATGTGCAGCCAAAGGGAAACAATCACTTGGAGGGGACCTTCATTTTCAGAAACAGCACTCAGTAGCGCTCGAGGGCGTTGTGCATTATATGGGTGCTTTGTCGAAAAGGCTCAACATTTGTTGTTGATTTTTTAAAGCCTCAAAACGGGTCCGCCATTGTCAGATTCCCCATAAAAACTCTTTGAAAAACGAGTTCGTTTCAACATAGGAGAGGGTGTGTTTGTCTTCCTTTTGGGTTTCCTATTTATAAAAAACAAAAACCAAAAAAACAACCCAAAGTGGGCACCGAGCGTCAAACAAATCGACACGCCCAATGGACGTAAGGGCGGGCGAAAGTACAATTCAGACAACCCACCATGTTGGGCTGATGTCTTTTTTGAGACAAGACCTGTTCACACTACTGGGAACAAATGCCTGGAGTCTCCATGACCCTTAAAACATGGGGTCATTACCCAAAATTATGGGGTCATCCCATTGTTTAAGGGTCAGAAGGAGACCCGAGGTGGAAACCGACTTGTTCTTGCCCTCCGGGGTGCGAAGAGGGGGGACATGAGGATCTCCACCGCATAGACCCAAAGCCGGCTCTGGATTCGCAGAACCGCCTCGAGCTTCAGTGGGACCACCTGGACGGCTCTGGAAGAGGGGTTGAGGGGTTGAGGGGTGGGTTGGTGGGTCGGTGAGTTGGGTAGGAGACATGGGTGGGCTTTTTGGGCCAATCAAAGGCGCCTTTTGGGTTCGCAGCGTTCCGAAATTCTGGAATCCGATTCTTCAACGCAAATACCAACCAATGGATTTCCATAATTTCCGAGGGGTGCGAAAAGGATTTCGCCATCCCATTTCGCACCGCCGTTCAGAAACCCTGGGATGATGATTCCCCTGTAAAAAAAAACGAAAAAAAAAAAAAAAAAAAAAAAACAACCACCGACGTTCTGGTTTCGACCATGGCTTCCTTTTGTGGTGCCAAATGGATTCACCACCACAGTAGTCATTGCTCCCCCAAACGCCTTCACATTGGCATAGACCCAACCGCCAGTCCAATGGCCTGGTACATGGGGACCCTGTTGGACAGGGTCCACCGCTGAGTAAAAGGGCACTGGGGGACGTAGCAGAGTTCGTACCCCTGACCGTGAGCTTTTGGACAAATAGATGGTGGTTTTCCGGGGCAGAACACCCATCTCAACCAGTGGACCCAATCTCTTTCTATGCAAAGCAACCTAAAAGGGACACCTGTGCACTCAAATGGTGGCAATGTTTTGCTGCTGCCCTTTCTTGGTGGTACCCTTTTTTTGGGTGCTACCCTGTTCTGGGCTGGTTCAGCGAACAAACCCAAGGGAACACGTTTTTCAGTGGCACCCTGTTTTTTGGTGCTCCCCTTTTCTGGGCTGGTTACAGTAAACGAACAAACCCAACAACAAAAATCATCGCCGAGTCGACTCGAATCGCCTGAGACACGAAGAAGAGGATCATCATGGCCACCTGCAGGTTCCCCGCGCCAACGCACACGAGGGGCCAGGCGTGGCCCAGCCCGGAGACCGCGAAGACCACCAGGCCCGACAGGTCCGGGGACATGCCAAAGCGCACCAAGGGCCGGAACACCGCCTGGGCGGTGGCTTTTGGGCGGTAGGTGTTGGGCGGCGCAAGGGTTTTTGGCTTTTGGCGGCAGAGTTGAGACCCCTTTTTCTAGACCTGGGACCTAGTAGCTCCCAACGGCTCAAAGGCTTTCATGTTTTCTAGACCTAGGACCTAGTAGCTCTTAAAGCCTCAAAGGCGTTTTGAGCAAACACATGGGAACCCGCTAGCTTTTCTTCGAGGTCTGGGGTCCTAGCATCTGGCAGTTTTTAGGTGTCTTCGTGAATGGAGAACAGTCTGGGTGCCTCAAGTGACCTCTGGATGATTTGGTTTCGACTCAAAGTGCTTGAACAAAAACAAAGTGACTTGGAGAAGCTCTGAACATGTCCGTGTTAATCCATGAGAAGTGGAAAATCTTCTCCGGGGTCTCGAGGGAAGGGTGGGAGGGGGGGGGGGGTTCCCCATGATTTTTCGGCTCTTCCAGCCACAAAAAGAAGAAGGGAATATTAACC